CTAATTTCAACTTCACAGTTTATCTGCGAATTAAATTGATCATAGTTTTTATATAACTTGATTCCTTTATAAAAAAATTAAAAAAATCAATTTCCAAACGAAACATGTTTTGGCTAGCATCTGTTTCTAGACTTGTAAGCATAATGCCTATACGTGCATATCAGGCGCGCCGGAAACAGTTTGGGATGGGGGGGGGGCAAAATTTTCAGGGGGCTCACCTTCCAGGGGCAATAACGTAATGAGAAAAATCTGCATCACCACCACTCTTACATGTTACATGCAGGCCCCGCGAAACGTTTTTCAAAGTGGAGTATTAACGATCAGGAAGAGCGTAGCGAGCGTAGCGAGCGAAGCGAGTGGAGCGTTCTGTAAGCCCTGACATGAAGGCTGCCAAATAAGCATTTTTGTTTTCTTCACCCGACTGTACATTTGGGATTTTTTTAATTTTTCAAACAAACGCATAAAAAGGTATGATTTACAAAAAGATTGAGAAAAAATACCGGAAAATCATGTTATTTCAGCAACATTTGTAAATCACTGGTATCTTATCAGAAATATGCCCCCCCCCCCCCCCATCAGTACGCCAGTGTTCAGGGGTTCATGTCTTTTCGCCCCTATAATACAAAAAAAACACGCGCTTTCTCATCCTCTCAAAATATTTCCACGATATGCGCGTATCGCTATTATAAAAACGTCCATTGATATATATATAGGGGCATGCGGAATGTGCGGAATGTATAGAAAATGTAATTCCTGTTAACTTTCCTTTTCTTTGAATGGAATATAATTCATATGTGATTCACTTCAGGTTTTTTTTTAAATTTTGTTATGTTCTTTTTTGTTAAAAAATAGAAACCATCTTTACATCCTTACTTACCTGTTTAAGGGAGGGCGTTTTTTAATAATAAGTGGTGGTAGATTCTCTTGAAAGATAGTGACTTGGGAGTCTTGTTCTGATGGGTCTTCCAAACAACATCTCTGCAGGTGATTTCCTATGACTGTCAACAGGTGTCGCTCTTAGGTGTGACATAGCCAGTTGACTGGCCAGTCTGTGAAAACCTTTTCAACGGATTCTTCACGGTACGAACCATTCTCTCAGCTAGTCCGTTAGTCCAGAATCTGCCCGGACAAAGAAAAGATTACCAGGCGGCATCTCATGTGCGGTCGAAAATTGGTGGTTAAAATGTTATGGTGATTGCAGGCGCGGATCCAGGATTTCTTAAGGGGGGGGGCCAAATTTGAAATCAATTTGAAATTTAGTGTGCTGAAGTTTGAAAATCGTGCCGGCCGATATTTTGCTCAGGGGGGGGGGGGGGGGGGGGGTGGGGGAATAGTGAATGTTGGGGACACTGTGACGATAAATAATCAAGCAGGACACAGAGTTCTAAATCCAGTATGAGACCACGCTGACAAGATACTTCAGCACGTATCAGCACGGTTCAATCTGTAATTGAACAAAACAAATAAAGGAAACATCCAATCAATACTGGAATACATGTACACATGCTTATCAATGACAATATTTGTTACAATAATTATCCATCTTGTCTGGTCTCAATCAATAAATGCATAACTGAATATGAATTAACTTGTTTGTGTCAATTATTTATGTCTCATATCCAAAAACCTCTCCTGAAACAATATCTGATCTTAAATACAATTATTTGATACAAAAGGCTTGCTTGCTTCTATCCTAGCACTGACTTTCAAATATGTAAACAATAACCGGTCAAAGCAATGCTCTCAAAACCCTAATTTCACAACACAAGGCCCAAGTTTAGCTTAGCAAAATACTTATAAACAATGTATTCAAAGCCTAACTTTTATCTCCCTAAATGAGACATTTATTTATTATTCATCACTAATAACCAGCTTGAACATTTATATCAACCTCGTAAGAAATAATATGCTTCAGCTATCATACAGCCTTATTTATCATGGCTCACTTCATAATCTGTCAACTAACAAAAGAGGCGTGACTACTTCCGGTCACTAAACGTGTACAGTGCATGCATGCATTACTTGCACGTATTATGTATACCACTGCTACATTACGTACTTCAATACAAATCTTTCGCAACAAATTTACATCACTAACCATCAACATAATTAATAGAAATTATCACTGATTATCATTCAACAACTCTTTAAAGGAATAGCAATGTAATTGTCTACTTACAACGTTGGGCTCATCAAAAAGAATCAATTTATCATCACAACCTCACGGTCGTCCGACCGTTCCAAACAAGGAAAATCAGTGGCATGCGAAGAAACGCCCTCAATAGTCAAATACATGTCAATTCCCCCAAAAGCCTCGTCTATGACGTCAGCATTTCCCGACTTATCGTTACATGATTTTATCAAACACAGGAGAAAACTTCCTGTCAGTAACAGTGAACATAGGTATTCTGCAGATCACCTAATCATATGAAAATTGGAAAATGACAAAGACAAAATGATCAAAATGAATTTCAAAAAGTGAAGTCTTTCAGTTGTGAATTTATGTTCATTTATTGATTTCATTTTAAGCTTCTGGATGTACTAAAAGTCATGAAAGTGGGGAAGTAGCACAAAGAGAAGGTGAAAGAAGAGTGTCATAAGGAACATTATGAAAAGTGAACAATATAGTAAAAATCTAATCAATTGAGAGGATGAGAAATCTGGTTTTCGGCCACCGCACTCAACGGCCACTGCATTGCTGACTTCGACAGATGAATGTCTGAAAAGCTTTGAACAAGGCAAAGTGGTGTGCTCTGTAATGGTAGATTTGAAGAAAGCCTTCGACACAGTTAGTACTAAAAAATTGCAAAATAAATATGTTTGCTGATAGAACTATTTTATATTATGCTAGTAATGAATTTTCTGAACTGGAAAACAAAGTAAAATAAGATTTAGTAAATGTGAAAAAATGGCTTGATGTCATTAGTTTAAGTTTAAATATAAATAAAACAGAATACATTGTACTAGGAATAAAAAATCGTCTAAAAGTAGCACGTAATACAAATTTGGATATTAACATAGATGGAACCCCTCTAAAAAGAGTAACTACATGCAAGCATTTAGGAGTGATTGTGGATAAAACTTTATCATGGACAAACCATATCAAATCTGTACAAAAGAAATATAGTAGTGGATTGTTAAAGTCAATACGTAATATTGTTGGTAAAGATACATTGAAATTAGTATATAATGCATTGATTTTATCCCACCTCTCCTATTGTGATGTAATATGGGGAAACTGTGGAAAGTGCCTTCAAAATGATCTCCAGAAAATTCAAATTCGGGCAGCTCGAATAATAAATGATACCCCTTGGGATTCATCGGGAAGCTACAACCTTAATAAACCTGGATGGGATACGCTTGAACAGAAAGGGAAAGAAAATATCGCTTTAATGAATTTCAATATACTTAATAAAAAATCCCCTTCTTATTTAATTGATACATTTTCGTAGAGAAAGACCATATAATACGAAAAGTGGCAATCTATGTGTTAAGACAATCCAGCCTAAAACGGATAGTACCAAATGCACATTTGTGTACAGAGGCGTTTGCCTATGGAATTCACTACCACACGAAGTGCAAGCAGCACAAACCAAGTACAGTTTCACAACAGGACTTAAAAGAATAACCAATTATAATCACATACAATATACTATGCTCAAATATGTCTATGAACTTTCGAATGTTTCCTTCTTATTGATCTGTCCATTTTTGTGTTGTTTGAATTTATATTGTTGTGTATGCATCTGCTCGGTTTTTTTTTTGAATTTCCATATGATGTAATATAGTTTCATTTCATTTTATCCAAAAATGATTAAATAATAGAGTTTTATCTACAGTGCTTGTTATTTTAATTCACTTTCAAGTGTTCTTTTACTGACTTTAATTTAAAAATAAATTGTAATCATATCCTTAATTGTAATAATGCAGTAACTTGACCAGCCACATTTGATTAAAAAAAAAAAAAAAAACTCATTTATGGCAGTTTATATGCATTTATAGTAACAATTTGTATTACCTATTTTAATTTGAAGTATATTTACAGTACTCTTGTTTGGACACTCATGATTATTGTTATTGATATAAATATACTTTTTTGGCAGTACTATTCTATCGTTATTTTTTTTTTAGATATTTATCTTGATTATTTCTTGTTTGTTTTAAATATGTCATTTGATGTATCATTGTCATTTTTATGTTAATTCGATGTATTTACATTTTTTCACATGGCCCCAACGGAAGTCAGTCTTGTAACTGTTTGGGCTTTTTTAACCGTGTTTATAAATGAAGATATCAATTCAAATTAAATTCAATTCAATATGAGAAAATGTAGAAAAGTTGAGACAATGTTCCGGTAGATGAGAATCGGTAAAAATTAAAAGAATAAAATAGTGAAAGATGAAGGGTCAAAATAATTGAGAATAAATGAAGAGAGGAACTCATCAAAGTGAAGAAAATAAAAGTGAGAAAGGAATATTGAAAATGAAAAAAGAGCATGAGTAAAATGGTCAAAAGGTGAGAAATTATGCGAAAGAGAATTTCAATAATTGGAAAAAGCTCAATTTATAAAAAGATAATAAGATGAGCACATTACAACCCTTGATGCAAGACTGATTGGTTAAATTGGCATGATTGAATATGTTGTAGGGAACTACATCTGCAGTCAGTTTGACTTGTTAATGTGTCTATCAACTTTCAATTCACTCGTTTCTTCCCTTTTCACTTTTTCTATACATAATTATTATGTGTCTTTAAGTGGTAAGCTTGTCCTTGTACAATAATTTTATCCATCTCTTTCTGATTCTCTAATTTTTTACTCTTCCTTCTCCAGTCTCCGCTTCCTATAATTCTTCATCTCTAATTCCTTTCTTACAAGTATGATTGACATTGTGTATTTGTCTGATACCTAAATTGCATCTGAATATCTCTTGCTCTCAATTTCTGATACAATTGTCCTCTCACCCCCTCTCTCTCCCTAAATACAAATGAAAACACAGCAGTTCAAGTTTGCTGTTTCTTTATTAAAGCATGAGAATACAGCATGTCTGTGTACAAGTCAAATGTTCTTTACATAAAAGACAATAAGTGGAATCTTGATTATTGTGCATTATAACTAAGTGATATTAAACAGAATTTGGACCAATTATCTCTACAGTTAGAGGAAAGCATGTAAATGACACTCATGTAAATGTATTTTCCTCTTCGACTTCTCGACAAAATATACCATTTCTCAAACTTATTTATTTAAAAATATTTATACAGGATGACAATGTTGGCCAAAGCTGTTTTCACATTGGTCCTGTATATACATGGTAACATACAAATATCAATGAAATGAGGCAAACATAGCAATTTATTACAGAGATACTAAATAGACTTTGGACCAATTATCTCTTCAGTTAGAGGAAGCATGTACATGACACTACATGTAAATGTATTTTCTTATCGACTTGTCGACAAAATATTATACCATTTCTCAAACTTATTTATTTAAAAATTATTTATACAGGATGACAATGTTCGCCAAAGCTGTTTTTCACATTGGTCCTGTATATACATGGTAACATCAAATATCAATGAAATGAGGCAAACATAGCAATTTATTACAGAGATATTAAATAGACTTTGGACCAATTATCTCTACAGTTAGAGGAAAGCATGTAGATGACACTATATGTAAATGTATTTCTCTCTTCGACTTCTCGACAAAATATTATACCATTTCTCAAACTTATTTATTTAAAAATATTAATACATGATGACAATGTTGGCCAAAGCTGTTTTTCACATTGGTCACATACAAACAAATCAATTAAATGAGGTAAACATAACAATTTATTACAGGGATATTAAATAGACTTTAGACCAATTATCTCTTTAGTTAGAGTAAAGCATGTACATGACATGTAATTATTTTTTTTTTTTCGACTTCTCTACAAAATATTATACCATTTCTCAAACTTATTTGTTTAGAAATATTTATACAGGATGACAATGTTGGCCAAAGCTTTTATTCACATTGGTCCTGTATATACATGGTAACATACAAAATATCAATGAAATGAGGCAAACATAACAATATATTACATGGATATCAAATAGACTTTGGACCAATTATCTCTACAGTGAGAGGAAAGCATGTACATGACACTACATGTAAATGTATTTTTCTCTTCGACTTCTCGACGAAATATTCTACCATTTCTCAAACTTATTTATTTAAAAATATTTACACAGGATGACAACATATTACAGGGATATTTAATAACATTATATGAAATAACCAGCGAATAGAGACATGGATATAAATTTTTAGATTTACAAAATGAGGTTATCCAACGATTTGAAAAATAGTATTAAAAATAAGATAAACTTCACCGGAAATGTAATTAATTATTTCACCAATAGAATCAGAATCTCATCCAGCACACTCATAGGAAACACAACACACCATTCCGGTGACGTATTATACTAAGGGCACACAAAAGTAAATTTTTATTCAAATGGGTAGAAAAAAAACACAACACATATACATCCATTGCGTCACTGGTTATTTAGTACATTAAAGAACATTAAAGTACATTATTGAAGAAATAGACATTGAATTCTGCAAAGTACTCGGTAATTAGTTCCATTAAACACCTCCTTTAATAGAGGTTGGCCCTGTTTCAGCAAACGTGTTATCAATAACTGCCATATATCTATGATACATCTGCTCACAGTCAATCAAATGCAAGGATATCAGTAGCTTATCACAATGATCGGAACATGTTAATAAACAAAAAGTATTATCAAATAGGCCGCCCTTGTGTTAAAATGTCTAGATTTACAAACTACGATGACTACATTTCGAACTGATTGTATGCCAGCTTCTCAAACCTATGTCTCTTGTTGTTTCCTTTCGACCTTTCTCTCTGTTGCTCTGTCCTTATTTATTTAGTATTTCCAGGAACGAGAACAGTTGTTGTACTTCTAACATCAGTGAATGCTTTGGGCCATGCGTAACATCCAAAACATTCTTTGTCTGAAAAACAAAAGAATTAATTTAAAAAAAGAAAGAAAAAGACACATTTGGCACCAAATTAACCTCCTCCTAAACCAGAAGCAGACAAAGTTAGGAAAAGTTCAGCGAGAGAGAGAGAGAGAGAGAGCATGAACAAGTTAATCAAAAATATAAGAGACAAACAATTTGTCATTCAAATGGATGACATAAAGGGATACGTTTATTGGTTCGATGCGATGAAAAGAAAATACACCTGTATTGATCTACTTCATCATACATGCTCCTAGCATACTAGCAAGGTCACTTCCTCTGTCTTTATGGATAAAAGTAGATCAAATTCATTCCTTATTGATTGATAAATTGTTCATCTTTTGTCCTTGCTAATTTATATCAAGACGAATGACTCGGTTCAGAATCTGAATACGAATGTCCAGTAAGCAACAAACTTGCTTTTGATGTATATACTGGGGGTTATAATACTTTTTTAGCCCAAACAACTACATGTATAGGTATAAAGCTTTTTCACTAATTAAACAGGATGGTCAAAGGGGATTGGGTGAGGTTACGTACCTCAGATGATTCTGGATTTCACTGTGTATCGTACAGTCGCATTTAATTACCATCGACTGCCCCCCCCCCCCCCACCCCAACCCACCATCATTGAAGATGGAATAATGCCCGCACTTATTAACAATAAACTTTAATAAGTGCACAATTCTTCAGTTCTACTCAGATACTAATGTCAAATGTTGTCCAAAGAGCAGAATAAAAAATAAATATATAAAAGTTCAGTAATTTTTTAAAAAACACCCACTATTGTAGTCTTCATTGAAATAACGTCCCATCAATTCATAAAAAAAGAATAGTAAGGTACCTCTGTGAGATATTTTCGAGCTTCTTCAAATCTCCCCAGCTCAAGTAGTAGTCTAGTCATTCTCAGGAAGTAAATCCCTATAGAGGCATGGTATGGTCCTTTGTAGAGATATCTAAATCAAATAACAGTCAAATTCAGGCATAAAAGTACGGTTTTGCTAAATGTACAGTAGGTCCAAGGACAATTAGCCCCTGGACAATTACCCCTCAAGAACAACAACCCCCTTGCACATGCAATTATTAATTTATGCATGGCATCCACCCATATCTTAATCCTTAGTATTCTTGCAAGATTACCCCAAAACGCCAAGCGCCATAGGGGGAAAGATCTGCTGAAATATCACACTACCTCAGTATGATCAGTATTTATAAAGGCTTAATTAATATACCATTAAGGTCTGTTCATTATCTTAAACAAGAAAACAAAATTCATGTATCTGAATCTGAATATCACTTATTGTTCTATAAATGTGATGGTTATTTCACCTGACTGCTGCTTGTAATGCCTAGGTCACATATAAACCGGGCCCCGTACGATTTTCCCTACCCGGCGGCTTGTCGTGGATTTAGATACCGTACGGGAACCTTTCGATTTTAATTTCTACGGCATGTGTGGTCACATATTCTGCGGCGCCCGGGAGGTGCCCGGTGAAAATCGGTCGAGTGAATGCAAGGCGCCCGTAAGGGTGCCGGTAGGGTGCCGGTCAGGTGCCGGCCGGTAAGCTTACGGGCTCCGTCCGATGAGCAGGTGCACCCATGGCCCCCGGAAGGTTCCCATGACGGGGTCCTGAAGGCGCCCAGCCGGGTGCCATGCGGTACACTAAACTATGTGTCCTCTGGCATCCGTACTTCCTGTATTTAAAGCTGCGTTGTACATTTTGAGATGCCGCTGCGAGGGGCCCGCACGGGCAATATTCGTTTGAAATGCCCCCCGGACGGCAGACGCCTGCTGTTGTGCATATCAACCGTAGCTCTTGAGGAGCCCGTGGGGGAGCCGTAGGGTACACGTACGGAACCCTTGAGCACCGCAAGGCGCCCGTAAAGATTTTTCATGAGAATTCATCCCCCCAAATCGTGAGGGGCCCGTCCGGACACCGTCCGGAGCCCGCACGGGACACGTAAGGTGCCCTACGGGCCCTTTACGGGCTTTCTACGTTCCTACGGTCAGACAAAAACGCCAGGATAATTGGGAGCAGCCAACTAAGGCAACCGGCCGGACACCGGCCGAAAATTCCCAAAATATCTGTTTTTACTCGCCGTACGGGCCCCGGAGTGTATATGTGAAAAGCCCCATAAGTAAGCAACCAGACGGCCGACGGCTTTAGGTCCTCTCCGAGGGGGCCTAGTAGTGAGAATTAATGGTTTCGAACGCGGGTCACCGGATTACCACTGCTCTATCGACTGAGCTATCGCGCCTCCTATTCTGTGTTATGTGTATAGTGAGTATAATGAACCTAATCTTACTTGTTAGGCTCTATGTTCAGCTGTCCAGTCTCAACAGCTTTCTGCCATGCGTGTGAGTCGATGCATGCTAGAAATGCCGCCTGTCTGACCTTGTACAGGAGATGATGATTGGCTGGAATATTGCTAGTGGAGTCCATCGGATTCAGGTAGGGTATACACAGCTGATACACTTTTTCCCAATGTAAATATCACCATTAAGAAAGAATAAACCCATACAATGAAAACTGATCGAGATGGGGACAAAAAGCTTGGAAGAATGTATATAGAGAAACTGAGAGGACTAACATGGGGTCAGTGAGTTTGGAGCATAGAGGAAAGGGTAAAGGAGAGAGAGACAGAGAGACAGAGAGACAGATAGACAGACAGAGACAAGTAGAAAAGGAGGGAAAAGGAGAGCAATAGAGAAAAAATAGATTACAATGCAAGGTATTTGTAGAATGTGAATTGTGCAAATAAAAAGGGTCCCAATAACTCTATGATAACGACAAATGAAACAAACTCTAAAGGAGAAAACATTCATTGACTTCATTCCTAGTATTTCAAATTATTGACAGGTATAGTCATTGTATACTACAATAAACTTTAAATGACAACGAAGGATATCTTGTGAATTCTCTGCATCCCTTATTTGCTCCAAGGATTTCTTCAAATCTCGGAACTCTTCACCTAAACCATCATCTGGCCCCAATGCCTAAAATATACAGAAAACATTTAATCAGAATGTAAACAAGATTAGCTTGACATTTATTGCAAGTTATGTGAAACAATTTCTACATGGACTTTGGAAATCACTTATTATCTAGTGCATTACTGAGAATAGATCCATGCAGGTATCGACTGCCTTGGCTAATGCATGCATGCATGAACATAGGTTACTTGAGAGTTATATCATTATTTCATATTTGAGTATAAAAAAGAAAGTAAAGCAGCGCGTAGATCGTATTATTGCCCAATATATTGTTCACTACTTTGAACATTGGAAGTTATTATGGTGCTCAATCATATATGAAACCGCAGACCTTATCTTGAGATCATCAATATAATTAAAGTTCAAAGATATCTAGTACATGTAGTTTAAAAGAAAACTACCTACCGGTATACAACTTGAATTTTATTTTTTAGGATATTTTGCAGCATTTGAGAAGAGTAAAACAAAGAATGAAACTGTAAAGTAAAGACTTACATTGATTTCTTCGATGCATTTCACACACTTACAGGTGAAATGATATCTCTCTTTCAGATCAGCCTGTCTCACTTTAGCTGGGTCCATGACATCTACATAGGTGATTGTACACTGAAACCAAACGAAAACCGGTTGTAAGGATCTTAAATTATAAGCACATGTTATTTTTATAGTGCATGTACAAATAAAGACCAATCATGTTTTCAAGGTCAAAGATTAGCTTGATTCTTTTTTATATGACCAGACTTACCAGCAAATTGATGAATGTTGACCATTGTGATACTTTCCAATTGTGACAAATATCTAAATAATCTAAAGAATACACATCAGTTCTTCATACAAGTTGAAGCGTCCTTCACTGCAAAATATAGAACTGATATACATTGTATCTTAGGATACCCCCATATAAACTGAACCATTTGGGTGTGTTGATTCAAATCTTCTTAACACTGGTATAGACTAATCCTGAAAATTTGTATGGTGAAATGAGTTGTTGATGATCCTGGCAGAATCCATATAAAGCAACATTCAATGATTTAAAGGTGAAATTCAAAGAAAATCACAAATATGTCAACTAATGTATCACTATAATCTGGTAAGCTAACAGATGGCCATCGTACAAGTTTAAAGGTCAGCTACATATTGGGTGATTTATAAAAAAACCAAATACAACCACCTCCATAGCAGCTGGGGTATACGAGAGATTCGCCGGAAAAATAACAATGTTTTAATGACGTCACTAAATGGACCAATACTGCCCAAGCAGACGACATCCCATAAAGAATGAACATAATTGCAAAGCTATTATTTGTCAAATTATAATGAGTTTAGTATATAAATGTAATGGCATGTCAAACCATTCAAAAGGGGATATGACCCGATTCTGATAACTGAAATATTTTGCTTGTAAATACATAGGATAGGGGTTAATTAACAATCAAAGAAATCAGACTTTCAAACTGAAAACCCCTCCGGAATGATATTAAGGACGGCATTTGTTCCCTCTTGAAACGCCGAACATACCGCGGTGTGCAGCTGAATATACAATGGCGTCTGATTTTGTTTACAAGCGACAGATTCCTTTAGTTTTATATCGCTGCATTTGTCATCAAAATAAAACCATGCGAGGGGTTTAGATGAGGCAATAGATTATACATTAAGCCTAACGGTAGTGAAGTAAGAGAAAGAACTCAAGAGAAGATGAAAACACAGACACTGAAAATGTGTGAGATGTCATGGGACATCGTCTGCTTTTGCAAATCATGTCAATACTGTGATCTCACACATCTCAGCAGCGTTTGGAGAGCTATTCAGGTGCTATGCCGGGGCCTTTTTTAAGCGTTTTATAATTTATAATAATCTTTACTTCGAATGTTTCCAAGCATTGAATTTTGATAACTTTGTCGAATGAAAGTTTCAACTTTGCAATAATGAAAATAAAGTTAGTTTTTTTTAAATCAATGAATGTCTACTTTTAGAAAATACATAATCCTTATTTATCTGGTAGTGAAGCTGAAGAATGTGAGGGATTAATTTCAATTAAAAATGCAACAAATGCTCTAAAAGGGATGAATATCAATGAAGCTCCTGGCATAGATGGCCTAACGGTTGAGTTTTTTAAGGAATTCTGGGTTGAAATACAAGATCTTGTTTTAGACAGTTTTAATGAAAGTTATACAAAGGGTAAGCTTAGCTATTTGCAAAGGAAAGGAGTCATTACTCTGCTATTCAAAGGTGGTGATGCGATGGAATTAGGAAATTGTCGGCCCATTACATTACTTAATACCGATTATAAAATACTTGCAACTGTATTGGCAAACAGGCTCCAAAATTTGTTAACACACTTAATCAGTGAAGACCAAGTAGGGTATCTTAAAGGCAGGAGTGGTATTTATAATGCCAGATTAATTCAAGATATGGTAGATTATAGTGCATTTAATACGAATGATGGTGCAATGATATTTGCCGATTTTAAAAAGGCTTTTGATACTATGGAATGGAAATTTGTTGATTCATGTATGAAGAGCTATGGTTTTAATGATAACTACAGGAAGTGGGTCTCGGTGATGTATTGTGATCCTCATCTTAATATCATAATGAACGGTTGATAACAAAAGATATAAAACCATCTAGAGATATAAGACAGGGGTGTCCCCTATCTGCATTATTATTTATCCTTAGCATTGAAGCTCTTGAAAATGAGATTAGACAAAATAACAATAGCATAGGCTTGAGTGTTGGTTGTAATGAGAAAACATTAAAAATATTACAGTTAGCAGATGACATGACATTATAATGTTCGTACAGTTATGTCAAAAGTAGTCTGGAATCCAATTTAATGAAATCAAGACAAAAGCCCTCTGGTTGGGAACCAACAATCCAACAAATACTATTGGAAATATGTTATGGGAAGATGTTTATGTTCAGTCACTTGGTATTTATTTTTGTAAAAATAAAGATATAGGCTTTGAAATGAACTGGTCTGAAGAGAGGATATTAAAAATAAAACAACTGTTAAATCTTTGGAAACGGAGAAATCTCACGCTTAAATGGAAAATAATGATATTAAAATAATTGATAATGTCGAAAATCATTTATACATCACAAGTCTTGTCTTGTCCTAAAAATATAATTAAGGAACTCGATAAGTTTTTTTTATATTTCCTATGGAAAGGGGGACTTGCAAAAGTTAAAAGGTCAAATGTATTAAATAGTATTCAAGAATGTTCAAACAAAGGTTGCATCGTTAAATATAACTTGGTTTTGTAAATATCTAAGCGATGAATTAAATGCAGGTTGCAAATGTATGTTTGACTATTGGTTTAAGCAAATTGGTGGTATAAAGGTTATAATAAATTGTAAATCTAATACAAAAAACGCAAGTTTTCTGGAAAACAAGATGCCTCATTGCTACTATAATTTAATTATGACCTTTTTCTTGTATAAAAGCGGTTACTACCTAAGAAAGGTTCGATCATGTACTTTTGACAGCTATCGTAGAAAAATGATTCGGATGAATAAAAATGTAACGTATAAAAGGAAAATGCTTTTTTTATAGGAATTGGATACATTCTGACATTTTGTTTTTTGGGGTTTTAATGGATGGGAAAGGTTTTCTACTAGTCAATGAGTTAAGTGCAAAAATATTATTTAAGGATGGAAGGTGGTATCGTCAATATGCACGTATTAGAAGAGCGATTCAATCACTTGGGAATATGTTAGTACTTGCAAATATGAATGTAGAACATGGAGAGTATATGAAATTTAGATCAGCAGCGTTTGTATATGATGATATAATATTGATTGAGGATATGATTTCAGTTAGACAGTTGAGAGTTAAAAAAATATATCATGAGTTAATTAAAACAAAAATCGAAGAATCTAGAGCGGAGGAATTTTGACGTAATACTTTGGAAATTGAATATACACCTGTATGGTCAGATGTTTGGTTATTTGAGGTAATAAGTATACAAGACAGCTTACTAATTTATTTCAATTTCAAATTCATGTATAATATTTTAGCAATACCATATAATTTGTTTAAATGGAAAGTTAGTGCCAATGATCAATGTTATTATTGTAATAAAACAGGTGATTGTATGCACATGTTCTTTTTTGTAACGAAGTCAGTATGTTTAAAATGAAGTTGACAGGAATATCAAGAAATATTTCATGTCTAATTTTAATTTCAAACCATGTCATCTATTGTTTGGTATTGATTTTAATTCAAAGAAGGAAAAAGATGTTGATATTATTTTGAATTATTCACTTTTTAATGCTTAGAAAAACTTTGTTGGAAAAGAATTTTTAAAGAAAACAACAAAAAGGAGCCTTCTTCATATTTCGATTTACCTATTAAATAATCGTTTACAAATAGAAGAAAATATTAGAAAACCATGTATATCTCTCCCGAAATGGAGGTAAATGCTAAAAATGTGAATATGTTTATATTATTATGAAAAATTAAAGAAGACCTGAATTGGTTATTTAACACAACAACAAAAAACAGTCAATGACATTTCTTTAAAAATATTCAGGGTATTTCCTCTCATGTGCATATCAAGAACATAGGGAATAAAATAAATGAGGTATTTGAGAATAAAATATGTGGTCTCACCTCTTCTCCTTCTTTGACATCTTTAACGGTCATGATTTGAATTTTTCTCCCATCACTCACCCATGCACAGTTAGGATCACAGGAATGGTTCAACATGGATGCTCTTAAAAACAGGAACAGTTAAAACAGAGACATAATAATGACATATTTATTTACACACACAAAATAAATAATGTATGGGATTGGGAAGAGAAAAGATACTAGTATATTATGCTAATGGAATCATGCTTAACCTACAAGTACAACATACAATCAAAATGATGAAAATTATGATTGTTTAGAATTGGATGACATTACCGATAGTGCTTTAAAGGTATTTGTCCTATTTGTAGGCCAACAAAGAAAATTAGAAAAGGTAAAATTCTAACGGCATGTGAAAGATAATACTAATTTAGAACTTTCCTAAAAAAATGGGGGCTTGAAAATGTCTTTAAGTTGGAAAATAACGACTACGACTTAAGTGCTAACAAGTCAAAAAGAAAGAGTCTAATTTTCAGACCATTGTACCGAATGGTACTGCGCAAAGATTCAATCAGTTTAATTTTGGCCATAACAAATAGTGGGTTATTGATATAGAGAAATGCTCATGTACCCTTTACAGCTCATTTTATGTATGTTATTACCAAAGAAGAAAAAGCCAGTCAGTCACTCAATAGTTTCTGACAGTGAAGTCTAGCAAGTAAACGGGTTTCCTTGCATAATTTGAATATTAGGACACCGTTAACGTTTAAATTTTACAGATAGGACATACATGGCATTTTCATATTTCCTGCAAAGTTCTATAGAATTTGATGTTGGCTGCAGAAGGGTTATAGTATCTTTAACCACTAGACCATAATATTTCTGATAGACTTTAAATGCAAAAACGGCCTTGGCATGGTCGCAATTACAACTTTTAATTGAACATTTTAAAATGATCCCAACATCTGTTTTAAAAACAAAAGTCACTGTTTCTATAGCCCATAGTCTTAGCTATAACATACCTAAATTTGGGAGAACATAGAGCACAAATATGCTAGATAGTGCTCAAAGATTAATGTCATGTAGATCCATGATTTGAACGAAATTCCTAAATACCAAATTCACAGACTACAAAAGGTTCAAAACGCAGCTGCCCGCCTTGTCACTAAATCTAAACGTTCGACCCATACTACTCAAATACTCAAGAACCTTCACTGGCTTCCAATAGAACAGCGTATCAAATATAAAATTCTACTACTCACCTACCGTTCACTAAATGGATCAGTTCCTGAATATATTTCCTCTCTTCTTAATATCTCTTTAAGTTCTCGTGCAGGTCTTCGTTCCTCTAATTCAACAAATTTAACACAATTAAGAACAAAGAGGAGTTGGGGAGACAGAGCTTTTACAGCTGCTGCACCCCGGTTATGGAACTCCCTACCCCATTCAATCAAAATGTCAGCGAATCAAAATGTGTTCCAAAAACAATTGAAAACCTATCTAATGTCTGAATTCCTTATTTAAGACGTAGTGTATTTCACAATCTGATGAAATTAACGTTGTTGAATTATATTTAATTATGTCATATTATTTTCGTTCAATGTACTTACCTTGTTAGGCGCCTTGAGCATCTCTTGGGGTGGATATGTGCGCATTATAAATGTTGTTATTATTATTATTATTATTAACACGCAAATTAAGACAATTCTGTCATGTTACTTTTAATCGCAATTTTCACTATGATGACGTCATCAAAATGGAAAATGACGTGTACTGATCTTGGAGAAGATTGTCCTAGCAACAAGATATCAACATTAAGAAGAAAATAGATCAATATTTACATAGATACAATCAATTTTCCATAAATATGCTGACGTCATAATATGCAAATTCGTATTTTGAGTTCCAAGGTCAATATGATTATGTCATGATTTACTTAATGGCCAAATGAGACATGAAATCATATCTCCGACTCATATTCTATCCAAATATGAGAACGAATTGAGGGTTCTATTGCATCCAAAAGAGCTATAATATATTTTGTATAGGCATGCTTTTGCCCATATATGTTATGTATTACAAGAGCTCGCGCGCACGGACATTTAACTTGAATGGACGCTCATTCCCTTTATAATGGTCATAAAGAGATAAACATGGTATAAAATTGTTCGGAAAAAAAGTGAGAAATATCGTGTAAAAACAAATATAGGATAAATTATTTTGTGTTCGGCTGTGACGAACGAAAACGCGCGCGCATGCCCGGGCGCGCGATTGAAACAAATAAAATTCCAATGCTGATAATGGCGTACGAGCGCGTTTTTTGACCTGGAATTGACCGGACGGATATTAAACTTGATCGTGATAAATATGATTGAGAAAGAACTTTCCGTTATGAAGATATGATCATGAGTTGATTTTCAGAAGAAAAGACAAAATCACAAAATGGCGCCTAGACGTCATCACTCATGGTCAAGGTTGAAAATCTTATTTTGCTTTGTCCATATGTCTATACATAATGTGTGCTAAATTTCAAGGCATTTGATCGAGCCATTTTCAAGTTATCTTGCTAACAAAAAAATGGTTAGAAATAAGAAAAATAATCTAACGAAAATATTAGGTGGTCTGTATTCTATACAGCCCATCTGAAAATTACATTGATAAAGCGCTTAATACAATGTTTCTAAGCGCTTAAAAAAACAAGGTACAACGGAAAATAAACATACATCAATAATAATAAAAAATTACAGATAATTAGAGACTTACTTTAAACAAAACTGCCCTATAGATAGGGATTGGCGGATACTAATTGGTAAACTATTCCACAATTTAGGGACTGCAACAGCAAAAGTACGATCGCCGTAACAAGTATTGGTTCGGGGAAGAGGGGCGTATCGGGAATTAGCATGTTTAGTTGACCGTAATGAACGTCATGGAACAATAGGTTTGAGAAGGTCGTTTAAATATGATGGAGCATACCCATGTTTAATTTTGAATACTAACAAAAGAATCTTAAACTGAAAGCGAGTTAAAATAGGTAGCCAATGAACAGATCTAAGAATAGGAGTTATGTTTGTGTTCGTATTTTCTGGTTTGGGTAATGAGACGGGCTGTCATGTTTTGAATACGTTGCAGTGGAGAAATGGTGGAATATGGTGAGCCAAAGTACAAGCCGTTACAATAATCTAAATGAGAAATAACAAAAGCGTGGATCAATCGTTGTGTAGACTGTCTGTCCAAATATTTTCGAAGTTTACTAATTCTGGAGATACCAAAAGCAGCCGTCCGACAAGTATTCCTGATATGTTGTTTCATGTTCAGTACATTATCAACAGTGACGCCGAGGTTACGAACCACTTTTGAAGATACGATTCCAACGCCAGCAGCATCTGAGCGCGGCAGACTGCAAGAACTTCTAAACTGCGAGGTGATGTGTAGTACCTCCGTCTTGGATTGATTTAAATTAAGTTTAATCAAAGAAAACCAGGACATGACATCGGAGATGAATTCGCTAAGTTTCTGAAAGTTATTCCCAAGAACTGATTTCCCCATGTTTTTACCCAGGTTACATAATTTGTTTGTTATATTGCATCAATGACATTTCACAATCCTTTACGAATTTTGAAAAATTGAGACTAATTTCGGAATACTGTTTAATACAAACAATTACTCTACATTAGTGCATCCACACGAAAACATATTAGGCCTAGTATCAATATAACTTGGATGCTGGTGTGAGGAAATAAGATTTTTAGGGGGAAATCGGAGATTTATATTATCAATATAAAGAAAACAATAGTGGATAGTGAGGCAATGACGTCACAGACTCATGAGTGAGTTACCAATGTGTCTTGTGATTTTCAAAGTTTTCGAGTCATTAAAAATTCATAAACTTTTTATTTTCTTATTAGTTTTCCGATTTTGCTCAAACTTGTTTTGATTGGTTTGTCTGATTTTTCTGCTTCTATTGAAAGTATGTAATTATTGGAGTGGATTTGCCCTTTAATCCCCATTAGTTATTACCGAGTCTCTTGGAGAGGACTTAAAGCTGTCGATCCCCTGGTTGTTTACTTACAAGCATATACATTCTTTCTTAGAGTCAGGTAAAACAATTATCAATCATTATAGTAACATAAATTACCTCAAGTACATCCCAACTGCAATGACATTCAGATCATTATTCATTATTGATAAGGAATTGCAGATAGTCGCCCCAAACATCTTCAACAGGGTGCTTGGCTCGGGTAAGACATCATCTTCGTAATACTTCAACGAAAACAACAATGTCTCAAAGTCCTTCCTTCTTGTATCGCTCAGCTTCTCATGATGGGATTCCAGCTGGTCTACGGTGGTTGGAAAACAATCCTCATCATCCTGAATGCATGGAGGGGATCGTTTTTGCTTGTGGATAATATGAGATAGAAGCTGAACTACGTGTGAATATGGCAAGGGGTGTATTCTCTTCAGTGTTTTGCAGTCTTGCTTGTGACATCTTGCCCAATCTCCTCGCTGCACGGGGTACAAACATCAAAATAAGAATATAAGCCGTACCAAACGACAATCTACGTAAATCTACCAACATCCATTAAAGGGACTTGGTAACATTGTTCAAATGAGAGGAAATGGTGCTTAGTAGTGACTTGAATGCTAAATGTACAAATAAAGATAATCTGAAAGTTTGTGTGTAAACAGACCATTATTAATGATCAAAATTGCGAAGAAGTGATCAATATTTTATAATATAATAACATTTTAGGTGAATGTAAATCGTCACAAAGCAATGAATTGGCTTGATATTCCATTCCAAACATTGAAGTGTTGAAAGATTTTAAAAAGCCTGTTTTATGTCTTATTTTCATGAAAAAACGGTTGGGAAAATTAACTGTTAGAGAGGATGTTGCACAGTGACGCCTTCAAACAAAACCATAAATGTCTTTGTGGTTTGAGAATATTTTGAGTGTTAGTACAGTAGAAGGAATATATATAATAAGTAACATTTCATACAAAAATTTCGCAGTTTGTTCACCAACCTTCAACAATGTTACCGGTTCATTTTAAAGATACTCGACATCTTTAATACATTTTACATCATAATTATGTGTAAAAATTACTTCATTTAACTGTTCATAGAAGTTTAGGCATTTCAGGATTGATTGATTATTTCTGCTTATTATTTTTGCATACTAGTTCCTGCAATGACAACTAATTTCAAACAACCATTCTGTTTCTAATGGCTAACTTTACTAAATATAACATAGCCCCAAACTCCGTAAACTTTATCATAATTAATGCTGAGCAACTTAACAAAAAAAATCTTAATACTTTCCCAGAGATGGACATATTTTACTACAATATATCCTATGATTTTTTTTTGGAGTTATTTCAACTCACTGGGACATTGACTGCTTAGATTCTAATATTTCCATAGACTTAATTCAGGAATCATTCATTTCTGATATGGGTAATGGGTTTATGTGTTGGAGGGAACCAAAACAAACAAAATTGTTTTTACCTGACATGATTTATTGCAGTAGCTTGCATAATGGCAGCTGGAACACTTCTTTAGAGTTGAACTGAAAGTAAGATGAATATTGGAGTTGATTTTATTTTAGCGCTTAGAGACTTCGGTGGTAAGCGCCTTATAAGCACCGTTTTTATTATCATTATTATTATTATTATCATTCTTGAAATATTCAAAACAGTTTCAAACATAAACGAAAGTCAATAGAAGGTAACATAAGGCAGTATTGTACTAGGTCCAAACAAATACCTCAAATGAAAAAACAAGAGTAGAAACTTTACTAAAAGTTAAAAACTTTAAACAATTCATGTTGACTTCTTTTGAGTTTTGTGCAAATTGATAAAGTAATGCTTAGTTTTATTTCAAAAGTTAGCATAATGATGATCAATTCAATCATTATCAGACTTCTATATTAGATCTATATTATTATCATGATAATAATTACGATGTTTAATTCAATCATGGACATAGCATTTAATAAATATTATTTATTCTTAATATCATATTGTCGTTAAAGTAAAATTAATGATATTCTACACTCAGTGGATTTAATCCGTGCTAATTGGCCAAGAAAGAAAAAAAAATATATAAAAAGAAAGCACATGGATTTCGATATTATAAAGAACCCCTAAAATAAGCCTTAAAGACCCTATCCCTTCTTATTATCACGTTAAAACAAAGAATTAAAAATCAACACCATTTTTTGAGGCAAAATTCACAATAGCGTCCCCTTTTGTCGTCTTGCAGTGTATATGCATATGGCAATTCTTCAAGGATACATTGTCCCCTCGCAAATTTTGAAGTGAAGACCAAACCTCGCCCACAAGTAGCTGATTTTACAACACGCACAGATTCCATAGCAGACTCCGCCATTATTAGTGTAAACTTATGAAATTGCTCCTCTCAGCTCAAACAGGCACAGGGCTACACTCGCTTCCAATAAGAGGCGAATGATAACGTTTCATTCAGCTATGCAGTTGTAGGAGTGTGTATTATCTTTTTATCGAGTGGGAATCCCACCGGGGAATCCCCACTGACATTCATAACAGGAAGTATTATGTTTGACCTTTGCACTTGCGTTCCTTAGGCTTAACAGAACCGTTCACCCACGCACATCTCAGCAATCCCATTCGTTATATAAGTTAAATGTTTATGATCCACCCCCTCCCCCTCCTTAGGGGTGGGAATTCCCACTCATAAACATTTCTTGGATAACATAACACTGGTACTGGTACTGTTTGGTACGGTCATATTTGTATAATTCACCTGCCAAATACTGGGCTCACTATAGTGTTTACCTAATGATGCACATTGGAACTCAACTTGGTGAAATATTAGAAGTACATTAAAGAAGGTCATTATGCTGTTTCTTTTCTTTCATTCTGATCCCTTACTCTTTGTTATTCGTGTTTCTCCTCTCCCTTTATAGCTCCCTCATGACAGGAAACATTGGGGGGGGGTCGTTATTCAGAAGGGTCCCTTTTCATAATACCAGAGAAGGGTTGCTGCAATAGATCGTGGTGTTGTGGTCTAGTGGATAAGTCACCCGACTGCATATTACAAGGTACGTGTTTCGAGTCCCGCCATGGCACTAATATCCTTTAATTGACAATCATTAAAGGTCAAGTCCACTCCAAAAAAAAATTACTCTCAATTGTAATAGAAGCAGAATAATCGGACAAACCAATCCAAAAAATGTTTGAACAAAATCGAATATCTAATAAGAAAGTTATGATTTTTTGAAAAAGTCTGTAAAAATATGAAACAGTGAAAATCACAAGACAAATTTGAAATTCACTCATGAGTCTGTGACGCCATGTCTTCACTATCTACTAATTGTTTTCTTTATATTGATAATATAAATTTCCTATTTCCCCCCTAAGAATCTTATTTCTTCACACCAGCATCCAAGTTAGATTAAAGGCACACTGTCCTACTTGTAGCTACTTGCTCCCCCCTATATAGAAAACTTCGACAATCGGTGCCTGTTGGTCCCTCATGATCCTCTTTTTCTTATGTTAAATGAGAGCTGAGTTAATGAGATAGCCACCTGTCACCAGGCGCGCCGGAAGCAGTTTGGGATTGGGGGGGGCAAACATTCCAGGGGGCTCACCTTCCGAGGGCAGTGACGTAATGAGAAAAAACGTTCGGAAGGGGGGGGGGGCAGACGAAAAATCTGCATCACCACCAGTCTTACACGTTACATGCAGGTCCCGCGGAACGTTTTTCAAAGTGAAGTATTAACGATCAGGTAGAGCGTAAATTGGCGTGGGGTCCAGCCTCGGCAGGGTGTCAAGGGGCTGAGCCCCCGGAAGCTCAGGGATTTTAGGTATTTAATTACGGTTAGATGAGCATCCAGGGGCCTCTTTAAGGCCATTGACGTGTTCCAGAGGGGGGGGGGGGGAGCCCCCAGAAGCTCAGAGGTTTTAATATTTAACTACGGTCAGATGAGCAACCAGGGGCCGCCCTAGGGCACTTGGTGGGGTCCAGGGGGCAGGGCCCCCGGAAGCTCAGGGGTTTTAGGTATTGAATAATGGTCAGATGAGCATCCAGGGGCCCGCCTTATAGGGCCCTTGGTGGGGTCCAGGGGGCAGAGCCCCCGGAAGCTCAGGGGTTTTAGGTATTTAATAATGGTCAGATGAGCATCCAGGGGCCCGCCTTATAGGGCCCTTGGTGGGGTCCAGGGGGCAGAGCCCCCGGAAGCTCAGGGGTTTTAGGTATTTAACTACGGTCAGATGAGCAACCAGGGGCCGCCCTAGGGCACTTGGTGGGGTCCAGGGGGCAGGGCCCCCGGAAGCTCAGGGGTTTTAGGTATTGAATAATGGTCAGATGAGCATCCAGGGGCCCGCCTTATAGGGCCCTTGGTGGGGTCCAGGGGGCAGAGCCCCCGGAAGCTCAGGGGTTTTAGGTATTTAATAATGGTCAGATGAGCATCCAGGGGCCCGCCTTATAGGGCCCTTGGTGGGGTCCAGGGGGCAGAGCCCCCGGAAGCTCAGGGGTTTTAGGTATTTAATTACGGTCAGATGAGCATCCAGGGGCCCGCCTTAGAGCCCTTGGTGGGGTCCAGGGGGCAGAGCCCCCGGAAGCTCAGGGGTTTTAGGTATTTAATTACGGTCAGATGAGCATCCAGGGGCCCGCCTTAGGGCCCTTGGTGGGGTCCGGGGGCGGAGCACCCGTAAGCTCTGGGGTTTTAGGCATTTAATTACGGTCAGATGAGCATTTTTTATGCCTTATTTGTGACATTGGCAGGTCACTTATTTTTTCTCTCCGTCTTCTTTCTTTTTCTCTTTAACATACTTTTTCAAAAAGTGAGGGGGGAGGGGCTCGAGCCCAGCCACTTTGCAGACCATGTCATAAAGGCTTCTAAATAAGCGTATTTTTCGCCCGACTGTAATTTGGGAATTTCTTATTTTCCAACAAACGCATAAAAAGGTATGACTTAAAAAAAAATGGAGAAAAAATACCGGAAAATCATGTCATAACAGCAACATGTGTAAATCACTGGTATCGTATAGATATACCCCCCCCCCCCCATCAGTACGCCAGCGTTCAGGGGCTCATGTCTTCTCACCCCTATAACAAAACCAAAAAAACAGACACGTTTTCCCATTCTCGCACAATATGTCCACGATATGCGCGTATCGCTATTATAAACCGTATAGGTAGCATGCGCAATGTTTATAAAAATTTAATTCCTGTGAACTTTCCTTTTCTTTGAATGGAATGGTATATGTGCTTTAATTCAGGTTTTTATTATTGTTATGTTCTTTTGGGTTAAAAATACAAACCATGTTTATTCCTTTACTGCTTTTTTTTTTTTTTTTTTGGAGGGGGGGGGGCGTTTTGGGGGGGCAAAAATGCGTTTTGCCCCCCCACTTTTTTGACTGGGGGGGCAACTGCCCCCCCTGCCCCCCCACTTCCGGCGCCTATGCCTGTCACAGTGACCTGGCTGGCTCGCTGGGTGGTCTAATCCCTTCTAGCTGAAGTAGTATAGCCTGCCTTTAATAATAATATGTTTTTGTGTGGATGCACATAGAGTAAAACAAATTCAATTGAATCATGAAAAATGTGACTTTTGATAAACTATTTGGATAACAATCAATAATTGTGAATATACAATATTCAGAAAAAATATCAATTATTCAAAGTTTTCAACAGATTTTGTGCGTGGTCATGAACGCAGTATGACACAGATCATAATAACCTGGGCAAAGGCATGGGGAAATCAAGTTTCGGGGATAAAAAGAGAATTTAATGGGACTAAACTAAATAATGCAGTTGATAAATAGTGAGGAAAAGACGTCACAAACTGATAACCAAATTGGCAATTTGCGTAGTGATTTCCATTGTTCTATAGTTTTACTTACTTTAAAAGAAAACTTCAAAACTTTCTTATTAATTATTTTGCTCAAACTTTTTTTGATTGGTTTGTCTGATTTTTCTGCTTCTATTGAAAGTAGGTTTTTTTTAGAGTGTACTTGTACTTTAATTGCCACATTCCACCCAGGTGTTTAAATGGGGATGCGAAGGTTGATATGGTTGGATGAGCGCTTGTAAAATAACGCCTGGCTGCGGATTGCTCCACATGGAGTGGAGAATGTGCTTACGTTGTGTGCGAGTAAGCCTGTATGATTCCGATGACCGGGGTGATAATAATGAATCTGTAAAGCGCTTATATAGACACATCGTTGATGTATTAGCTAGCGCTATATGCATGGGTCGTATCGCTATTCATAATACTAAAATAGGGTTACTATTCATATTGTTGATTACGGGTCGCTTTCATAATACGAAAAGAGGGTCATTTTAGTTTTTCATAAGGGTCATACATCTATGTATTGCTTTTTAAACATTTATTTTTATAGATTAGATTTTTAAGACAACTGCTCTTCCAAGGGGCCCTGTATATAACGTTGACCTACCTACAATTTGTTCAAACATCCTAGCATCTGTTCCACAAGCGCATTGAACATTGGGGCATGATGCAATATGTTCATGTTAACCACAAACACATACTTTTCATATTATCAGCAAAAATCATAACTTTCATTTATGTTAAAATAAAATAACTCTTTGAGATGTATTTACTATTTAGTGGGTAGAACTTATAAAGTCCAACAAAATATGATTTCCAGAGTCTACAACATGTTATAAGTGTATTGAGTAGTTGTTATGGAGCTGTTACAAGAACATGATGATTCTAGTTTATCCTCTTGACTCTCTATCTGAAAGCACACCAGTGCATGGATGAGATTCTTCAATCTGATACTTGTAACAACTCCATTAATCCTGTCTGGAACATTGTCTTCAGGTACTTGAGAAGTTGAGGGGTGTATTATCCTAATATTTGGAATGTTATTAGGCTTGCAGAAAGACAATTTGGTTTGGATACTTAATAAGTTTATACCATAAGTAATAGTAATAGTGCCTTATTGCTCTGCAGTTTAATGTGCCTTTTTGGAATTCAGATAAACTTTAAGACTCCTTCATCAAAGTGGTGATGCATTAGACCAAAGATATTTTGAGATGTATTAAATCAAGCTTTTTAAAAGAAAATAATAATCATAAATATGCTTGTAGTAAATGCAGTACATGTAGGTCATTTATCATGCTTGCTTGCAAGCTGTGATTAGAAGATGGGAATGGCCAGCTTCAAGAAAAGGTTTTTTTGTCTCACTGTTTCCAGTATTCTTTGTATCTCATTTCCGGATAATATGAATGAATGTACCATAAAAATAAAAACAAACCATCAGAGTTGAAGTTAGCTGTTTCTTTATTAAAGCAAAAGAATACAAACATATCTTTATGCTGCTCTTCAAAAGACATTAAGCGCTAACTTGATCACTGAGTACCATAACTGAGTGCTGAACAATTTTGATTTCCTGTTTCCCATAAGTCTCCAACTTGAGTGACAGCCCTCATTAACATAAATAAACAGTAAAATGAATATGAAAATTTGTTTTCCTTTCTTTAATAGAAGACCTACCGTAGTACCCTTTATCTCTCAGAGGTTTCTTTCGGTTAGTTACATGTAGATGGAAACATTTACCTTCCCTTTGAATTTGGGGCAAATGTGGTCTGACACCCCCCCCCCCCCCCCCCCATTCAAAATGGTCTAGTGATGCCCCTTTTGAGTAGTACAAGAAGCCTTTACTTTGTACATATCTTAAAGGGATAGTTGAGTTATGTTGCAGAGGGGGCTACACAAAATAATTTTGTGTGCGATAATGAAAAACTGAGTGTCAAATTTGAAAGAACATACACTTCAAATGACAAAATCATCTTTGTTTGATCAAAATTGCTTCAGAGACGGCTGAAATATCCATAAATATAACCATTTCTAATATTTGTGTACCACCACAAGTATTAGATAATTTGAACCAGCTGTTGAAAAAATTTAAATAGCTCCTTATATGTTGTATTCCAGCCGATGCCAATGTTGGCGTATTGTTGGTTTTTTTTGTGTGTGTTGGTTATGATACGCACAACCAGCCGGCCCATGTATTGTTAATATTGATTAAATAATCAATGAACGGTGACCATATTTTTTTAAAAGTAGAACTGAATTGGTATGATCATATTGGCTACATTTCACACAATTTGGGGTCTAAAATTACCTTCATAGCAATTTTAGGTCGTAAAAGGGCACTAGAAATGTCATAAATAAGAATAAGTGCAATAACCATGCACTTTGAAGGCATTTGCGGTCTGAAACCAGAACTCAACTATCCCTTTTACTTTGTACATATCTTATCTTATACAAGAATACAAAAATGTCTCTATGATGCTCTTTAAAAGACATTAAGTGCTAGCTTGATCACTGAGTATCACAACTGAGTGCTGTACAATTTTTATTTCCTGTTTCCAATAAGTTTCCAACTCGAGTCACAACCCTCATTAATTTAAATAACCCTGTAAAATGAATATGAACATTTATTTTATTTTCTTTTGAAGACCTACTTTCGTAGAACCCATCATCTCTCCAAGTTTTCTTTCTGTTGGTTACATGTAGATGGAAACATTTATCCTCCCTTCTAACTTGAGGCAAATGTGGTCTGACACTGCCTCCAACCCCCAATTAAAAAAAAGTCTAGTGATGCCCCTTTAGAGTGGTAGAAGAAGCCTTTACTTTGTACATATCTTATACTTAAGCTGAAGATGAGAGCTTGTATTACATTTTCTAGATGCAAAAACAGCTGAGTGTCCGATTGTCTGTAGCTTGCATCTCAATCCTGCTACGTCTCGTCTTGTTTCCACTCCATTTTATTCTTGATCACTCTGTCCTTCCATTTTCAGTATTTCAAGTGTCATCCACAACTATAGAGAAATTCTCACAAGTTCTATTGTAGGCATTACTGTATGTTGCTGGACATCGTTTATTAGCAGTTGCAGATGGAAGAGGTGCTCGTCGGGACAATTGTTAGCCATAGGTAACCTACAGCTAGAGAGTTCTTGTACTAATGTTAACATCAATGAATGTTTGTGGGCCATGAGTACTACTGTAGGCATTACTGTAGACCTATGTCGCTGGACATCGGTTATTTGCATTTGAAGACAGAAGAGGTGCTCGTCGGGACAATTGTTAGCCATAGGTTACCTACAGCTAGAGAGCAGTTCTTGTACTAATGTTAACATCAATGAATGTTGTGGGCCATGAGTACTACTGTAGGCATTACTGTAGGCCTATGTCGCTGGACATCGGTTATTTGCATTTGAAGACAGAAGGGGTGCCCTTCAGGGAACTTGTTAGCCATAGGTTACCTACAGCTACTGAGAAGTTCTTGCACTAGTGTTAACATCAATGAATGTTTGTGGGCCGTGAGTACTACTGTAGGCATTACTGTAGACCTTTGTTGCTGGACATCGGTTATTTGCATTTGCAGATAGAAGGGGTGCCCTTCAGGGAACTTGTTAGCCATAGGTTACCTACAGCTACTGAGGAGTTCTTTCACTAGTGTTAACATCAATGAATGTTTGTGGGCCATGAGTACTACTGTAGGCATTACTGTAGGCCTATGTCGCTGGACATCGGTTATTTGCATTTGCAGACAGAAGGGGTGACTTCTTGAAATTGTAAGCCATAGGTTACCTACAGCTACAGAGCAATTCTTGCACTAATGTTAACATCAATGAATGTTTGTGGGCCATGAGTACTACTGTAGGCATTACTGTATGTTGCTGGACATCAGCTATTTGCAGTTACAGACGGAAGGATCTTCGGGGAAATTGTTAGCCATAGGTTACCTACAGCTACTGATGAGTTCTTGCACTAATGTTAACATCAGGGAATGTTGTGGGCCATGCGTTACCTCCAAAACACTCTCTGCCTGAGAAACAACAAAAATGAAATAAAAAATAAATGACATAACGCCTTTGGCATCAAACCCTCCTTGGAAATCAGAAGCAGAAAGGTAAGGAAAAGTTCAAGGAGAGAGAGAGAGAGAGAGAGCATCAAGTTGACCACAACAAATATAAGAGACAAACAAATCTTGATACAAATGGATGACATAAAGGGATACATTAATTGGTTCGATGTGATGAAAAGAAGATATTGATCTAAATCATTATACATGCTCCAAACATGCTAGCAAGGTCACTTCCACTGTCTTTATGTAAGAGAATGGATTAAAGTAGATCAAATTCATTCCATATTGATTGAGCACTTGTTCATCTATTGTCCTAGCTAATTTATATCAAGGCCATGCACTGACACTGTTTGGATTCTGAATCACAATGTCCAGTAAACAACAAACTTGGTTATGATGTACTGGGGGTTCATGTGCTTTTTTCAGACAAAACAACTACAGGTATAACGCTAATTCAAGGAATCAGACTAAACAGGGTGTTCAAAATGGGGCAGGGTACCATAATTGATTTTGGATTTCACTTAGTATTGTATAGAGCATTTAATCACCATCATCCATCCTACACACACACACACACACACCATTCTTAAAGATGCCTGTGCTTTACGTAACAGCAAATTTTAATAAAATGCATTCTACTCAAGTTCAAAGTCTAAAAGTCAAAACAGCTGAATAAAAGAAAAGTTCAGTTCAAATGAAAACATCCACTCTTGTAGTCTACATGAAAAAAAAGTCCCATCCATTTGAAAGAATAGTTAGTTATCCCGACAACTTCATTTTGTTGGGCATATCATGAGAAGAGAAGGCACAGAAAACAGAATACTGACAGGAAAATTGAGGGAAAGAGAAGCAGAAGAAGACAGCTAGTCAAATACATGGATAAGTTCATTGGGCTGACTGGTAACAGAAGTAACATCAAATTACAAAAAAACCAGAGATAGAAGTAGATGGCAAGCCTTGATCCCCAATATTTGGAATGGACAAGGCACCTAGCCAGCAAGCAAGCAGCAGGGTTGATGACCTAGCAAGCAAGCAGCAGGGTTGATGGTGAGCACTAAAAAAAAAAAGTTTTTTTTTTTTCCTCAACCACGTCCCCTCGAGTAAAAAAAAGAAAGAAGAGGATTCGGGGGTGGGGGGGGGGGGGGGGGGGGAAATGGCATCTAACAACATTCCCCCCCCCCCTTTTGAACTTAGAAAATTGGGAAAAAATAGGGAAGAATAGAGAAAATAAGGGTGAAAATCCGGAAAATCCGGATAAAATCGGGAAGAAAAAAAAAATCAGGAAGAAAAAGAAATCGGGGAAAAAAAAAATCAAAAAATCAGGAAACCGATTTAAATTGGGTATTTATCAGGCCTGAAGCAGTTAGTTACCTCTGTGAGATATTCTCTAGCATCTTGGAGTCTCTCCAGGTAAAGCAATAGTTTACCCATCTTCAGAAGGTGAATCCCAAGACTGGGATGGTATGGTCCATAGTGATACCTAAATCAAATAACATACAGATACACAGTTATGAGAACAACTGGTTTTGTAAGATTTACACTTTATACCAAGCATTTTTAGCAAGCTTATTGTTCATACATGGCAGTTCAATTGATGAAATGTAATAATAATAATAATAGGCATTTCTATGGGGCCGTCTATCTAGATAATTCTATTCCGAGGCGCATTTATTATTACCCCGGCTTTAGACTAGCAGCCATTTATACAGCGCTCCAGCATTTCAAGGAATTAATTCTTGCCAGGTACCCATTTACAGTACCTCACCTGGGTGGAGTGTGGCAAATGTAGATCAATGTCTTGCCGAAGGACATTAGTGCCGCGATGGGGCTCGAACCGCGGACCTTGTGATCAACAGTCCGGCGACGTATCCACTCGACCACAACACCTCTATAATATGTAAAGGTTCTGCTCTAAGGGGAAGATCTGCATAAAATATCACTCATTTTTTCAGTCTGATTAGTGTTTAGAAAATTTAAACTAAATGCAAGATTGTTCCTGTAAATGATCAGATATTTAGTTTGTTAATTAGTCTGTTCGTGATTTAAAATCTTGTATTTTTAAACAAACTGATTGCTCTGTATGTCAATGACCTATGTGTACTCTCACCTGTAGGGGTCTGTGTTAAGTTGTCCCATCTGAGCAGCTTTCTCCCATGATTGAGTGTCAACGCATATGTCGAATGCTCTATCTCTGAGCTTCACCAGGAGATGATGATCGGCTTGAAGACTGCTAGAGGGGTCCATCGGCTTCAGGTAGGGCTTACACAGCTCTAACACTTTGGTCCAATGTGAAAAGTATATCATTAAGGAAATATAAAAAATTAAGATTGTTTTGAAAAATAGCATGAACGCAAAGAGAAAAGGTGAGAGAACAAAGAAAATGGGGATATGTGATATAGTAATGGAAATTTAAAAGTTACAAGAGAAAATGGACTGACTGGCATAAAGTCAGTGAGTTGGGAATATAGAGGAGTGAGCAAAAACAAGAGAGAGAGAGAGAGAGAGAGAGGCAGGCACACAAAAAACAGATAATAATAATAATAATAATAATAATAATAATAATAATAATAATAATAATAATGTGTCTTGTTTACCCAGGGTAGCCTCATCAGTATTCATACTGTTCTCCCTGAGGGCCCTGCAATCATATTATTACCCCAGTCATCAGATTCAGGCTTACCCGCACACAATGTATGCACATTCTCCACTCCCTGGGGAGCATTTCAGCCAGGCGTCATTTTTACTAGCGCACACTTGCTAATCTAAGCACATTAGCTTTCGCATCAGACGTACTCTGATTGCAAACAAAGGATATCTTGTGACTTCTCTGCATCCTGTATTTGCTCCAAGGATTTCTTCAGGCCTCGGAACTCTTCACCTAAACCATCATCTGGCTCCAATTCCTGAAGTGAGAAAAAAAAGGGTTAAATTGGAATATACCCCAAAATTGCTTGACAATAAAAAAAAATTGATTTTGCAATGAAATGCATAAATTGTAAGTTACATGAAACAACGGTCCATATATGAAGAGCTTGATTCCAAAAGGAGCTAAAACCCCTTTTGAAGAAAATTGAGTTATTGATATCAAAACATTGTTCACTTAAGTACCTGTTTTTCAACAAAATTTATCAACAAAATTTTGGGAGCCATTATTGAAAAATACACTTTCTAATATCAATTTTCCTTAGAAACCTGTAAAAAATCGGGTAAACAATTTCTTTTTTCTCTGAATTTAAATAAATGAATTTAAATAAATGGATTTAGCTCCTTAGTTTTGGAATTATACTCTTCATATATACTCTGTAAATTGCTTAATACCTAGTGCATAGCTCAGTGTTAGAGCAGTGGTCTCATAACTGGGTTCAAAACCAAGTCAACGCGCTAGTGCTCTTTGGTAAGCCATTACTCCTCGTTACCAAGTCCCTCGGAGAGGACTTAAAGCCGTAGGTCCCCTGATTACTCACTTACAAGCGTGTGCTTTCTTAGCAGTCAGGTAAAAAAAAATGAACAAACTACTAAGAAGATCCATGAAGGTATAAACTGCCCAGGCTAATATATGCATGAGCATAGGGTACTTGAGAGTGATTTCATTATTTCAAATTTGAGTAATACATGTAATAGAAAGGGAAGCAGCTAGGGCATGGATCTACTGTATGTACATAATATATTGTTACAATACCTTGAACATTGGAAGTAATAATGGTGCACACTCATTTATGAAACCACAGACCTTATCCCGATCTAGACCAGCAATACAATTCAAGTTCAAAGATATACTGTAGAGTAATTTATAATAAAAATTCCTATACAGCTAGAAGACATTTTTTTTTTTTTTTGTTGGGGGGGGGGAAGGGTCTTCTGCTACCTTTGAGTAAACTTAAACACAGAATGAAACTGTTACGTCAAAACTCACATTAATTTCATCTATGCATTTGACACAATTGCAGGAGAAGTGATATCTCTCTTCCAGCTCCGTCTGTCTCTCTTTAGCTGGGTTGATGACATCCACATAGCTGATTGTACACTAAAAAAATAAATAATTAAAAAACAGGCTGTAAATGTAAAGGATCTTAAATTTGGAGCCAATGTTATTTCTATTATATATGTAAACTGTCATGTTTTTCAAGGTTTTGCCAGATTTGCTAGATTCTTTTTATATGACCAGACTTATCCCAAAATTTTTTTAACACTGACCATTATGATCTTCCAAAATTATGACAAATATCTAAAGAGGATCAGCAAATAAACCACTTCTTCATAAATTTAAGTGTCCTTCATTGCAAAATCTATAACTGATGTATCTTTGGATTCCCAAATATATTGAACCACTTAGGTGTGCTGATTCAAATCTTTATTAAACACTGGTAGACTAATCCTGAAATGTCTATGGTGAAATGAGAAGTCATATCAAGCATATTTAGGGTATTTTCTCTCATGTGCATATCCAGAATATAAGGAACAAATAAATGTGATATTTGAGAATATAAAATGTGGTCTTACTACATCTCCTTCTTTGACATCTCTAACGGTCCTGAGTTGAAGTTTCCTCTCATCAAACACCACTACACAGTTAGGATAACAGGAATGGTTCAACATAGATGCTCTAAAAACAGATAACAGTTATAATAGAGGCATAATAACAACACCTTTTTTCACAAACAAGGAAAATAAAGGAAATTCAAACTATATATCGGACTGGGGGGAGAAAGGTACAATATATCATGATAATGGAATTATACTTGATACACTCCTACAACATACAATCAGTACCGGTAAGTCAAACAACATTTGTATTCCTACAGTTCTAAATTTTAATGAAGAGCTTGCTAAAAAGTAGAACTTTATTAACACTTTTTTTTCTTCTATTGCAATTTTAAAATGGGCACATTATGTCTTTTCTAGATAACTCTTTCAGCACCTAAAACCAATCCTTTCAGCATGCTCCTGATTTATTTGTATACATCCAATAAATAAATCGATGTATAAACAGAAATCACCTCAAGTATATCCCAACTGCAATTCCATTCAGATCATTATCACATATTGAGAAGCTGTTGCAGATAGTTGCTCCAAACATCTTCACCAAGCTGCTCGGCTGAGGTAAAACGTCCTCTTCAATGCACTGCTGCAACACAAACCACAAGCTCTCAAAATGATCCTTTCTAGCATCGCTCAGCTTCTCATGATGGGATTCCAACTGGTCTACGGTGGTTGGAAAGCAATCCTCATCATCCTGAGTGCACGGAGGGGATTGTCTTTGCTTCCGGATGATTTGAGCAAGGAGTTGAGCCAAGTCTGGAGGAACCCTGGGATGTATTCTCTTCAGGGTTTTGCAGTCTTGTTTGTGACATCTTTTCCAGTCCCCTTTCTGCATTGATACAAACATAAGAATAAAAATGTGTGTGTGTAATTAGGTTTTTACAGACGTGTATCAATCAGATATGATTATTTACGTCTGGTGACCGACCTTTAACGTCACCATCTAAAAGACGCGACTCAGTTTCGAACCTACGTCCTCTGCTGAATCAGTATGTAACTTCCATTGTTAGCTGGAATATAGGTGCACGCCACAACGTCCCGTACCAATTACACAATTCTAAATGAGTCTACCCAGTTACAACATCCATTAAAGACACTCGGCATCTTTAACACTTTTAAATCAAAATTATGTGTCAAAATCTCTTTATCTTTTTGTAGTAGTTTAAACTAAAGTGCATCAGGATCTTTCACAGCAATGTCAATTATTTCTGCATACCAATTAACAGTATGACCACTAGTTTCACACAACTATTTTGTCACTTATTGCCAATTATACTTGTTATAAAATAGCCCCAGAACTCCATAAACTCTATTATATTGGTTAACAACTTAACAATGAAAAAACTATTTTCCCGTAGATGAAGATAATTAAGAGTTATTTTAACTCACTGACTGCTTGAATTCTCTTTAATTCATTCAGTTTACGTTGGAGGTAACCAAAAAGAAAGATTAGTTTTACCTGACAAGGTCTACTGCAGTACCTTACATATTTACAACTGGAACATCTCAGAAGAGTTGAACTGAAAGCAAGATTAAAATTAGATTCTTGAAATGTTTAAAACAGCGTCAAACATACATAAAATGTCATTCAAATGTAACATTTGCAGTGCTGTAGTATATTCAAACAAATATTTTAATTAAAATAGGAAAAGGAGTAGGAATTTTAATAAAAATAACAAATTAACAGATTCAAATTGAATATGGCCTCTTTGCGTTTTAGGCAAATTCATCTTTTAAAAAAAAATTAAGAAGTGATGCTTATCTAGTCTATTTAGTTTTATTTCAAAGTTGTCATTAATTATTTATAATAAGACTTCTTCTTCTACTACTAGTATAGTATCACCATGATCATCATTACAATGTTTAATTCAATCACAGACATATGATTACAAATTTTATCCTTTATTTTTATCATCATATTGTCATTCAAGTGAAATGAATGATATTCTTCTCTCACTCAGTCTCATCAGTGGAATACAGATAGCACATGGCATGGATTTCAATATGTAGGACCACTGACACATTTCAACAAAATACAATTAATAACTAAATACCATTGTTTGAGACAAAAATCACAGAAGAGTCCCCTTTTCTTGTTGCATAATACATATGCATATGGTAGTTCTTCAAGGAGACATTTTCCAGCGGCAAATTTTGAAGTGAAGACCAAACTTCGCCCACATGTAGCTGATTTAACAACACGCACAGATTCCATAGCAGACTCCGCCATTATCATTTATGAAACTAAAGAGGGCGTGTCTAAATTACCAAGAAGCCGCGAGATTTGACCAAAATATACAAATTATTTTGTATTATTATTCCAATATTTCGACATTTTCGCTCAAAACCAAAAAGCGAAGATGGAACCTCCCGATCTAAACGTAGAAAATCATGAAAGTGAAACAGAAAAAACGGTGAAACGTCGTCGATTAGGACGTTCGTTCGGTGGCCGCAATTCCAGCTGGGTTCCACCGTTTGCTACTCCACCATCTGGCCAGAAGTCTCGGGGTGGGAGTACTGGAGATGTCGCTACAGGAATTGACCACTCCCCAACAACGGCTTCATTCAGTAAATCCAGCCCAAATAGTAATGGTGAAAAGCTGATGTCTACGCCTTTGAGCAGTACACCAAGGTAAGATAATATATATTTTCATTGGTGCATTTTGTTTAACTTTGTTTGCTCGATCGTTTCTTTCTTTGAGTTTGAGTCATCATGGTCACGTCACGTCACCGATCACGTCACGTCACGTCACGTCACGTCACGTCATTTGACTTTTTTTTTAGTTTGTTTTGTTTTTGCATGTCAAAATAGACTTCTAAGTTTTTATTTTTATTTTTGTTAAATTTCTTGTAGTAACTTGGAGTAGACTAGTATTGCTTGATTTTTAACAGAAGGTCAAACGGCAATAGCTATATATATTAACACACCTCAGTGACCCTTGTTTTTCTTTCTATGATTTCTAAATATGAAATTACTTCAAACCGAGGAAGTTATGATATGTTGCTTTCACTTTCAGATAAAGAAAAAGTTTCTTTGTTTTTTTAATCAGGTCAAGTCATCCGAGGTCATTGGGTTCACTGTCTTCACGTAAAAGGAGTCGAGGAGACTTCAAGTCACCAGTAAGTATGGAGATGAATTCTGTGTGTGTAATTAGATTTTTACATACAGATGTGTATCAATCAGATATAGTCTACAGTATGTTCATTTACATCTGGGAACCGACCTTTAACGTCACCTTCCAAACGACGTGGCTCGGTTTTGAACAGGGATCGCCTGAGCCAGTTTGTAGGCGAGGAAAGAGAGCTGACCAAGTGAACGTGCCACGGCACTAGACCAACTCCCATTTCCCTAAATGCTACATTGTTCAGGAACTTTTCAAAATGACTGCAGTAACTTGTTGTGAATTTGAAAAATCTAGCTGTTCCAAAACCGATTTCTAACCAAAGATCTAGAACCTATTCCCAATACAAGATTCTATTTTCATGACCATTACCCCCCCCCCCCCTGCCCCGCCCCATCCCCGCCCCATTCCCGACCCAGCTTTCCTACACTCAACTACCCAGGAAGAGGACATTTGTTTTTCTTTACTTTCTATTTCGTGTCAAGTCAAGTGAAAAATGAGGGGGATCAGATGTGTAGAAGCGCCCCTTGTTTCTTCTCGCTATTTTTTCACTGAATTTAGCTGTCGAGGATAGTATTAACTTATGTCTCATGTCTTATACACAATATTTTGCAGATGAGAAATCAAGGTGAAAAGAAGCAAGAAGAAACCCCTGAGTCCATCGAGAGAGAGAACGACAAACTGAGAGCAAGACTATCAGAGTTAGACAAAGAAATTTCAGAGCTGAAGGATGAGTAAGTAAAAAAAATGTAGTAATTGTAATACTTTTAAGAGACAGAGTGAGGCTTTCTTCTTCTTCGTTTGTGTTTTGGAAGATTGGTTGGAGAAAGGATGAGCATTTATTTATTTCTGTTTATATAAATTTGAGTGTACCAAGCATATTTTGAACAATTTATTTAAAGCCTTGCACAAATGCTTATCCAAGGTATATGCATTTACCTGAGAGCAAGCAGATGAATGATCTGTTAGCTGTTGAGCTTTCCTTTGAGATTTTTAACTATAGGGCATACTTCTTCTTTCCATTGATTTCATAGAGCAATAAGAACTATGACTGCCAATCCAAAAAATTATATTCAAAACAACTACAAAGCTAATTAAAGCACCATCAGGAAAATGCTACTTTGCTTCATAACATCTGTAAATAGTTATAGCGTAGTATATTATTCTCTTCTGGCTAGTATGGTATTATGCTAATAAAAATTCCTTCACTTATTAAATTGCAGAGGTCTGAGCGAGGATGAGCTCCAGCTTCACATCCAGAAGATGCATGAGTACAATGAACTTAAGGACATGACTCAGATGCTGCTAGGAAGAATAGGTAAGGTGGGTAGTGCATAGCACCCTCATGGTTTGAAAACCGATAAAGGCTATTGATATTAATTGACAATAATAATGATATTCGGTTCTTGTATAGCGATATCACATTATAACGTCTCTATGCACTCTCAGAGAGTTTTGGAAATTATTAACCCGAATTTAGAATGGCTGCCATTACAGAACTCTAGCAATTCAAAGAATTAATTCCTGTCAGGTACCCATTTACCTCAACCGGGTGGAGTGTGGCAAATGTAGATTATTGTGTTGCCAAAACGAATCTACTAAAGGTCGCGTCCTTAACGTGCATCTTCACACCATCTTCCATTCTCCTTTTTACGAAAGGTTGTATAACCTGACCACCTGATGGACGCAATGACCCAATGATTTGAAGTAAGTCGGTTAAATGTATCTTTCTACATGACCTCTTTCCCATTCTCTTCATGTCTAATATATTGTCGACCACTTTACTGTGTCCCCCCCCCCCCCCCCCCCCCCCCCCCCCCCCCCCCCCCCCCCAGGGCGCGACAAACCCGCTTGCCCGACGTCCCGGGGCAACCAAATTGAGCCGTCGGGCAAGTAAATCAAATTATCACTTGCCCGATTCGGGCAAGTGATACTTTTACAGTAATTTCCTAGTGTCCAAGAACTCTACCATTCACCCGTCAACTTCTTACCCGTCGTCAAAATCCAGAAGCAAAAAAGCGATCGTTCCGATTTCGAAAAAACTTCACAGACAGCTAGCCAGCTCAGCTAGCTCAGCGCGCATGCAACAGTGACACTTCAAGCCATGAATGCCGCTCCGCCTCCACGCACGGCCGGCCGTGAGCTAGCTAGAGACAGCTAGCGCGATCGTACCAGCTGCGAGCTTATTCGCGCTCTCTCTCTCTTGCTCTGCAGGCCGCACCGACAGGCCTTTGCTATTCTCTGATTGCCGATTGGTTGAATCACGCCAAATATGACGTCATTATTCTAGAGAAATGAACACGTGCGAATCGGAATGGAATAAACAACAGGGATTTTCTAGTAAGTACAAAAAGTCAAATGTTTGATATTTATTCATAATGACTGTTAATGATTGTGAACATATTATTTAAAACTCGCTGCTCATATAAATCAGATGAATGTTTTTTGTCTCGTTTTCAATTTATTACTGCGGTCTCAAGATCCGACCGAGCGAGTCATTTTGATAATAGTATCGAGACCCCCAGAATATAAGCCGTTGTTGTTTTGTTTTCATGGTTTTAGCGACGTTGTTTAGTCTAGTTTTCGCATACTTATCCGAGATTTATCGTAAAATATCTTCAATATTATTATTTAGTAAGAATTTACAAATTTTGGCATGATATTTATAGCAGTGAATGATGAAATAAAAATGTCCGTACTTTATTTAAAATAGTTGATTACCCATTATTTACATGACGTTTCTTGATGGAAGAGTTGACCCAAATTATTAACAGCTGAAAATTAGCCTACGTTTCCAAATGACAGCGGCTTGCACAGACACACATGTGATGTTGCACCATGGTACATGTGGCTACCATTAATGACATGTTTGTATCATATTTTTTACAACAGGGTCATTATGCTTTTTTACATGACTGAATATTAAAAACTTAAACCTGCTTGAACCATTCTACCTTGCCGAGATTCATGTGAATCTGATTATTTATGGAGAATCAATAAAATGCGTTTTTTAAACCTTCAACCATCCTTTGTTGACCATTTTCTTTGACATATTAGGTTATTATTCAGTACAGTTACACTGTACATGTATGTGCATTAATTTGCTATCTAAAACACTAACTTATCATTACGAGATAATAAATGCTTTAACCTCGAGTCCTTTTTCGCTTTAAAGTTTTGGGCAAGTGGAAATATTGTTTGGGCAAGTAAATTGAAAACCCACTTGCCCGACAGGGCAAGTGGTGAAAAAAATTCTTGTAGCACCCTGCCCCCTCCCCCCACCTTGTAAGTTATGATTCCATTAATTCTGTCTTCCCAACAGCCATGTTTGAGGGAGTAACGACGAGACAACTCCATGAAGAAATGGGACTAGGGGAAGACTGACAAACGCTGAAAACCTGAAAAGGTAAGATTGGAAAGACAGGAGCCACAAGCAAAAATAAAGCTGATAAGAAACATATACAGCCTTTTATTCGGAGATATATATATGTTAAGCTACACCGAGAGTCTGAGATAAACCAATCTATTGCAATAAGCAGTACTGCTGCCCAAGTAACACACGTACATGTTAAAGAGAGAGCTTGTCTTCTTCCTGAAATACAGAATGGAAGTTTATCCTACCCATCTCTGCATGATGATTACTATTTTGAATGAAAACATATTCAAAACTTATCTAAGTAGTATCTAATTTGTGTTTAGTCTTCATTCATGATGCAGGTTTATGAACTGGATGGTACACAAAGAGCAATAATATAAATTTCTTCCATAATTTGGGATTGGTCACTTTTTCAGGCATCGAGTTGGTCTTATTCCCCCTTTCTAAAGAACACAGAAATTTTATTTTCTGGTACAAATAATCTGCACTTTTGCAACAAGTATTTTTTTTATTATTTTTTTTTTTATTAATAATTATGTGAACTGTTTCTTCATTCCTGTATCTCAATTTATATAGACATAAGAGAAGATAGTTACACAATTTTTTTAAGCAGGTAATAGTTAAAATAATATAAAGGACACATGAAGAAGACTTTTTTTCTTGGAAGAAGTATATTTGTGCATGAATACAAATAGCAAGCACTCAGTGCTTTGAGCAGGAAAAACAAGAAGGTATTTACTAAGTATTTACAAATATATATAAAAGTAAAACATAAGAATATACTACAAAATAATCACATAACATTGTCGGCCTTTAGCAACCTAATTCCAAGCATAAAGAGGATCTAATGACTTCATTGTTCCATTACATCTACTGAACACTGCAAACACTGTTCAGTAATCAAGTTCTGCAACAAGAAGGATTTGGATAGTGAAGATCAAAATCCCCTTTTAGCTTGTAGTAAGGTATCAGCCATGTATGAGATTTCAAGGTGATGTAGTGATGACTCCAATGCCACACAGTATGCAGCATATAGATAAAAACAAAAATATATAACATACAAAATAAAACGATAATCATTTGATATGTACAACACACACATCGCTCCTGCGACTATTGCGCCAAATTTCCACATCAAGAACATGAAATTTCCTTGATGACAGAAAATATGAGTGGTTTGAATCAACATTTTATGCCTTTAAAAAAAAACTTTTACAAAATATTTTCAAAGATACTAACGGCTTTCCATAATTGTTAAGTCCAACTTGAACTAAGAGATAAGTTTAACTTGAAATCTTTGTGAAACACTCCCCCCCCCCCCCACCCCCAGGTGAATTTCCTGTACTTAGCAATGCTTTTTATTCAGCCCTAGACTCAACACTATACCTCACTCTCATCCTAACCCTTAACCAAAACCTCATTTTAACCCTAACCATAACACTATTTCTTCAAATTTAAAGCCTAGAGCAAATGTCAGTTCACCCACACATCTTTAGCCTCATTCCGACATGTTGAAGTAAACTGTCATGGTAAATTGTTGTTCACATTTTTTTTTTCCATCTCCACGTTTTTTATTTCCTGGATTAAATGGCTTTTCTTTTCCCTGACCTGTTGTATTTTTAAATATTTTGTTTGTATGTCTGAAGTTATCTTTGTCATGTCCAAATGGAGCCTTAAGAAAAGATTCACAAACCATAAGCATTCATACATTGTAAAATATTGAATACAATATATGATATTTTTGTTAACAGAAAAAAACAAAAGATTAAATATTTCAGAAAAAAAGAACACACTCAAAAATAAAAACCTTTGGATCAACCAAAGACGAAAAGGATACAAATTGTAAGAAGGATAGGTCTGGAGGTCACAGCTTTTCAATACACAGTGCGACCTCAATGCACATTTGATATGTTTTTTTTCTCTCACAGAATTGGTCTCCTTCACCATAAATCATGATAATTCTCCTGGAATAATCTGTTAAAAGTCACGACAACCCACCCATGTTTTATCGGGCATCAGCAATCAACTGTAAATATCTTGTAAATAACTGCAATTGTCTTATGGACCAAATATGTGTACCAAGAGAATTAGTGATGCCAGTGACATCTTGAAATATATACACGCAAATAACAAGCGTGAACACACATTACAAATAATATCTGAAATACCTAATGTTTGATCGCTTATTGCCCATTATGTAGAAAAAATTAACAATAGCATAGTTCTTTTAAAGTAAATGTACAGATGTATTACACAAAATTGCTATTCTAAAGGACTTGTGTAAAGCCTACTTAAATGAAACCAGTAAGTATTTTAATATGCTTATAAATGCAATAACTAGATTGTCTGGAATTTGATATTTACTGGTTACACAAAAATAATTACGAACTTTATATTGAAACATCGAGATACAGCATGAGTGGGCCCTTTTCTGGGCCAACTAACCCTGTCGAAAGACAACATGGTGTAACCGCAAACCTCGCTCAAAAAAATAATTACATCAGGTAGATATAAATGATCTAATTAGTAGTAATGTATTATCACTTAACAATTTATATTGGTAAATTGCATTAAAAAAATTCTAATATAAATAGTTCAAAAAGTTCCCATCAAAGGTTTGCTAAAAGATTGAGATGTTTACGCTGACACAAAGTGACAAGAAGGTCGAAGGTCGAAGGTTTAAAGAGATGATCGATCTACTCCCATTCAGGGTGTATGGTGAAGTGGCGTTGAGTGGGTTTGTGGGGTCGGGTGAAGAGACCGATGGTGTTCGAGACCGGTCCCCGGTGGCGGGAGGCCGGTAGGTGGTGCCACGACTGCATCTCCTCCTTGTGTCGCCGCGTGAACGGAGACAGGAGGCGGAGGCGGCGCCGGTTGGATTCACCGGACCTGAGATCTTTAGGGTCGCTGCTGGCAATGGGTCCTCCAGTTCTGTATAGGATTACATAAAGAGAGTTAAAGCCTGTCTGCACTAGTTTGGCCAGGGGAGATTAAACCTCCCTGCAAGGTCAATGACAGGTGATTACATGTATGTCATAAATCAGCTCTCAATTAACATAAGAAAAAGAGGATCATGGGGGACCAACAGGCACCGATTAGGCATTGTTTGCTATATAGAGGACGCAAGTAGCTCTAAGTAGTAAAGTGGGGCTTTAAGGTATAAATGCATGGTACTGCCTATAGTAGAATATCTACCAACACTTGAAAGTGAAATTTTCTAAACTTTCTAGGAAATTCAATGGTAATTCAATTATTTCAAAACTTTTTTGTATATATATTTGAGAACAAAGTGTTGAAATAGCTACCCATTACATAGAGCAAATTATTTATCGAATCAGGGGAAGGTTTCAATTACAAGTATGCCACCTCCCTTTTTAAGGGGGGAGGTAATAGAGGAGAAGGATTCAGCGTTTAATAAAGGACAAGAAAATTTTTGCTCATTAACTATAATGAAGGCCTGAATAGAATAATACACAAAGCTATATATTCTTCTGACCTATTGAATAAAATTGGATTATTTAACGGATTAGTTTTTAATGCAAAAAAAGACAAGAAACAGAAACTCACGTTTTCAGGGCACCCAGGACGTCCTTGAGTCTTGTTGCATCACAGACGTTGCAGGCTCCGCCTTGCTTGGTTTTTGCTTCTTTAGCTGCCTGGTCACCACCCATTAGCTTCTTGCCAGCAAGAGAGCCAAAAAACTGGAAAGCCAAATCCCGCTCTGAATCGTGAGAGAAAGAGAGAGCCAGAAAATAATAATGCGATGAGAGAGAGGAAAATGTAGAACCTGTAGATCGATTATAGCAGTAGTAGAAGTAGTAGACTTTATTAGATAACTTTTTTAGCACAGGGCTAATCAGCCACAAGGTCCATAGCAGCAATAGAGAGAGAACAATTAAAAAAAATTAACTTTAATGAAAACTTGAGAGCCAACTCTCAACCTGGAACGTCATCCAAGAAATGACAAAATATAACAGATGATGGCAATTTCTTGAGCATCCACAAGTGTGTTTATAGTCGTTGGCAATTGAACTTGTAATGTAGTATACAATAGAATCTAAGAACAAAATATGGGCAACAGTAAGAGATCTAATGGCATAATAAAGAGAGAGAAATCCATACTGAAAGAAGAACATATTATATTGATAAATTTAGGTGTGAGGTACAAATATCTTGTAAATAATATCAAATAGGTACTTTGAATCTCAGAAAAAAATTAAAAATTTAATTCAGTAAAAAAACGAATTTTGATGATTTCATGTATCAGACCAACAAAATTTCTTTATGTTACCATTTTTTCTTCTGAATGCTTTTTCAGAAAGCCAGGGCTAAGATCAAGATCTAAACCTAGATTACCTTCTCTATCCCGAAAATGTTCTGTCATGTAAATACCAGAGTATGTAGGAATATTATATTCACTATCAGTAAGTTAGCACTTATAGGATCTTATGTCATATATAATGCTAAGACAGAACTGCAGTGGACTGATATATCAAGTCCCACACCTACCTTTGTCACTAGCCGACTCTATCCACTTGTTAACCACCTTTGCAGTCTCAGTGTGACTTGGTCCTTTCTGGTAGTTTGCGATGTAATTCTTATCCTCCTGCGTGATCTCACTTCTGATCCTACCGGACATGGTCACGGCATTGTTGGGCACGGGCATCACACCAGCATCACGTGGCCGCTACGAACAAAACAGAATTATTTGTTTTCATTTTATTTGTATCATTCGCCTTTAAAAACATTAAACATACAAACATGATATACAGATGAAAGATTGATTACAAGAAAAATACAAAGGGAAGGAGCAAACAAAATGTTAATGGTAGAAATGTTGTGTAAAGACTCAATTTGCAAGAGTTAGCCAGAGAGCACTGGCTGGAAAACTAAGAAAAGTGCTCTGGTAAAAAAAACAAAAAAAACTAAAAATCGTCACAAAAGAATCTCACTTTTGCTTTGGCAAATCCAAAAGAAGCTTTTGTCACCAAAGAAAAAGTAGCTCATATTAACCGTAGTAGTCCCAATTGATTGCTGACTCTTTGCAATGAAATTTACCATAAAAGCTTCTTTTTTTCCAGGCTCTAGTAATTACAGATCTAGAGTGAACTCTTAAAATCAGAATCAAACCCTGATGAGAGATCTTCCCATAATTAATCCTATATATGCCATTACAAAGATTTGATGATATTGACATGGGGTGAGTCCATTGACCATTAGTGGTCTGCACTTTGTAAATACAAAATTCATGACTTTTATATTCTACTTTTATTCATAGTCAGTGTTTTTTTATTGCAATATTTTCACCAAATTTAACACGTTTCTCAGATAGTGTTGCCACCACTGAGAAGAATAGATATGTATAATATCAATACTTACATCCCTTGTCTGTGTCACATTCAACTTAGCTGATAAGCCTGGCATTGCAGGGAAACGTGTGACTATTGAGACAAAAAGAGAGAGAGAGAGAGAGAAAAAAAGAGAGGCGTTACCCAATGAAACAAAAATTTATGATATCAATGACAAACAGAACCCATCAGCAAGTCCTGATTATGTACCATAGGCTTTACATCAAATATAATGCAAGAAAAGACAAAAATGTGTATCAATCACATGTGACTAAAATTTATGACAAGCAGAAACAATCAGCAAGTTCTGGGGAGTGTTTCATAAAAACTAAGACCGATTTAATAAGTTGGACTTAACTATGATCAGATCAGTTTTTCCCAATTTGTATCATTAATAATGGTCTTCTTTTACTCAACTTTCAGATTTTCTTTTGTTGTACATCTAGCATTAAAGTCACTACCTTAGCACCATTTTCTCTCATAAGAACAATGTTACCAAGTCCCTTTAAGTAAACAATTTTTTCCCCCTTTCTTTCCTCACACCTCCAGATCTTGGTTTCTCTAATAGTGCCTGCTTCTCCCTGGCATACTAAACCCAAATGCTTAGTCACTGAAAAAACTAACAATTTCCTACATGTAAATGCTTTCTTAAAATCATATATTTGTTTCATAAGGCCTAAAAAAAAGATGTTGTTTTGCCCTTTTAGGTGCCAAAATATTGGTCGGCTGGTCAGAATTTTTTTTCTCTCCCTCTTTTGGCTGATATTTCTCAGTTTTGAATGCTTTGATACATTTTGTTTTCTAAAAAACTGTAAAAATAAAACTTTCTCAAAAGCTGACCATAGATTTCAAGATTTTGGGGTTGGTTGCAAAGAGCAATACATCTTTTTCTGTAACGCCTAATCTTCAATGAATCTATTTTCTTTCTTACTTCCAGATGATGGGTTCTTCATTGTCTGTTTCTCTGCGGCGTACTTCTCCCTCATGATCTGCTCGTCGATCTCCTTCTCTCTCCTCTGACGAAGCAGCCCTTGCTTAGGGGTGACGTGGGTGGTCATTGTGGGCGCAGTGATCTTTCGTGTCAGCAACGACGGTGGCATGTGACCAGCAAGTTTGGACACTTTTTTATGGTTTGCGACTGAGGCAGGAATGGAAAAGAAATACTCTATATAATTCTGGTAATACAGTTAGAGAATAAGAATTTTTGATACTTTCCAATAGTTTGTGACTGAGGAAGGAATGGAAAAGAAATACTGTATTTATGTGGAGCAAATTATTGTATTACAAATGGAGACAAAAAGCAACTTTGACACTTTTTGGTGTTCTGAAACTGAGGAAGGAATGGAAAAGACATATTTAACCCTTTACCTACAGAATCAGATTGCCCCTGTGTTAAAGCTAGGGATATGAGGGAATTCAATAGTCAAAGTGTTAAACACTGTATCCATACAGTAGAGCAGTGATTGTAAAACGACTAGAGAAAAAAAAGCTATGTGGGGAGTATTCTGTGGTTAATGACTGATGAAGTAGTGGAAGAGAGGTATTTAAATCTCTATATGGAATGGAGAAGTGGTTGTACATGTAATACAATTGGAGTATTAAAAGAAGCAACTTTGATACTTTTCTGTGGTATTTTGAGCAAAAGAGCAACACTCTGTGACTTGATGATCAGATAATATTCCATATCCCAAACCATGTGGAAAATTCCTGTAATGCAATGATTATGAGAGTAAAGCAGCAATTTGCACATTTTTTTCTGTGGTTAGCAAGTTTAGCAACTAAGAGCTTCAAAGAGTTACTTGAGGACTGGAAATGGAGATCATTAATACAAAGTCATTTCATTTGGAGGACTGCTAACAATACAATGAGAGTCAAGAGAAACTGTTCTAAAGTATGTAATATATTTTGTGTCATCTGTCAAGACTTAATTTAGAGTTCAAGAGAAGTCCGAGTATATTTCAGGAAAATGCTTCTGAGCAACCATTCACTTGAAGTTGATTCATTTTGTATTTGGGAACTAAGTAGTTCAGCTAGCATTGGGTATCTAGTCAAAAGGTACTACACAATGCAAAAAGCATAGGTTTAAACCTCCATAAAGCATACAGTATGTATGTCCTAATGTCAAATGGGGGGGGGGGGGAGGGCAGTATTCAATTCAATACTTATGAGTATTTTACTTAGTGTTTTACTGAGTTAAAGTACTTAGCTAACTTTGGTATTCAGTTGAAGATTTTAGCTAAGTGTTTTACCCTCAATTTAAGACAGCGAGCAGGCTTAAGCCATTGATTTTGGAGGCCTGTATTGGCAGGCATATGGTTTTTATAGACATACCCATCATCATAAGCTGCGCACAATTATATTAGCGCTCATTTATCGCAACCTGTTAATTGTGCATCATTTTGATCTTAGCCAAGGAAAAACTAACTTAATCCAAGTATTGAATTGAATAATGACCCTGGTATTAGAACGTTTACACACCCTCCTCGCTCTTTTTAGTCCTCTGTGGAAGTTTAAACCCTGCTTTAGACCTTGGGATATCAAATGAATTTGGGCCAGAGTGTTCTCATCTTTCTTATGATCACCATGATATTAAAGGGAAAGACCTTAAAGCCTGTCTGTACTAGTTTGGCCAGGGGGATTAAACCTCCCTGCACGGTCACTGACAGGTGGGTATCTCATTGAATCAGCTCTCCATTAACTAAAGAAAAATGGGATCATGGGGGACCAACAGGCACCGATCAGGCATTGTTTGCTATATAGAGGGCGCAAGTAGCTATAAGAAGTGCAGTGGGGTTTAAACTTACATTTACTGTAGCCCGTCTTTTCTGGTGGTGCACCAGCGAATGCAGTGGTGGTCGGATCCTGGTTGTAGAGACGACTAGGAACCTTCCAGTTCATAAACATCTGTAAACAGACAAGAAGAAGAGTTACTGTTTTAATTTCAGATAAATTTCTTCATGTTTTTTCCCAAACAATATTTCTCAGAAATGTATGTACACAATATTAATTTCATAAACATGTGAAACTTTCCAGTTATTACTCATTTGTAGAGGTGAAAGAATGATTACCTTTCAGGCAAATTACCTGAATTTTTTCCCCCTATAATATTTCTTTACAAACATATGTACCGTACATGGAAGTCTGAATCTTCATAAACAACTCTAGTGAGGAAATCTTCCAGTGGTGAGAAAAATATTTAAGGTTACATTCCATGCTAATTTGTGACTGTTGTTTTCCACAGAAACTTGCTTTTAAAACATAGGTAAATCTTATTTTTCATAAACATGTGCAGTGGTGGAAACCTTTCAATTCATTAACATCTGGGGAAGAAAAAATATATACTGTATGGTTTTACATTTTATGTTAATTTTTCCCCCGCATTGCTATCATTGAGATTTGTAACATTGATTAGCAGCAAACCAGTACTATTTTGTTTAGCCTTTACGAGACTGTCGTTGTGGGACTGCTGCTACGACCAGCTGCCAATAACTAAATATTTGTCGATACTTGAAGTGGCTATTGTTCACAATTTAATGATATATACACACATCTTCTTCTTCGCTATAATTTGGGCCACCGTCTGGTGTATTCTCGTACTGATGTAGGTGCTGTGCAGGTGTATGTACAGTGCCTCAATAAAAGGCCTACAAAGAACTATATGCAGCTAAAAAGACTTAAAAACATGTATTTATAATTTATATTAGAAGAATCTATAACATATGTAATAAATATTTCTTTTTGTGTTAAAATGTGTATTCTTGGAGTATATGTGTTCTGTCTTTCTCTCTTTAGGTAACCTGTGTTACCAGATCTGTTGATGTGTTAATACTCAATTATGTTTAAAAATCTTTTAAAAATCTTTTAAAAATCTTTTAAAGATAATAATACACTGTATTAGTTTGGTGACATGATATGAAATGATTTTGTGTGGAAAACTAATTTCAAAACCTTTGCTTTGTAGTATTAGTACATACATATGTAAATCAAAGATGAATGTTAGTTATGAACGAGATCAACAATTGAATTATGTAAATGTATTTTGTTTATATTAATCAACATTTGATTAATAATCTGTTGATTGGCACTTCCGATATTGACTTATTAATATATTACAAGACTCCAATCTTTTACAAATTTGCCCTTGACCATTTCGAGACACTGAAAACAAAATTAGAGTCATACTTAAATAAATGATAATATAGAGTTTTAAATATGTACATATTTAAATCTCATATCTCACTCTCTTTCTCTTTAAGGTCTGTGCCTCTCATAACATACCTTTGAGAGGAGAAATATAGATGTTTAGTGTATACGCTTACATATGTAATATTTGCACGAGAGGGAATGTCCATAACAACGTCTGAAATATACCCTTATCTATACTCACAATGTACCGGTATAAACATACAAAATAGTTGATAACAAAACATATGTCCTATATTCCAAAAATCCAAATAGTTTTACAAACCGTTGCCGTTGTCGCCATGATGACCCCTACTTCATGCCTGGTCCTGAAAGTGTCCAAAAACCTGTCCTAAATCTAGGATTTACTTCAGACCCGGAAAAGATTCTCCATGGTTTAGAATGGGTGAGCACAAATCTGGTTCCAGCACACATTTACAAGGACTCACTACATGCAGCACCCCGTGTGGTATAAAGCGGGACATTGTACCAGCAGCAGTGGTGCGTGTCATATCACTTTGGGTTACTAAGCAACGTCAAGCCGCGAGGCGGTCCGCTTTCTCTACTGTATATCGTCTGCTCAAAGAGCGTGGGGTGGCGAATATTAGCGGCGGACTCTCTATTGACAATGGGAGTGCGTTGTGTGGGACAACACACATTGTCATTCAACGGAATGCCACCAGCAATGAACTACATGTATAGAAAATGAAATGATCTAATACATGTCCACGTTAGAATATTTCTACTTGAGCAGGTCGCTCACAATTATATACACAGTAAACAACGTGAACACTTTACACCTTGGGTACCTGCATGGACCCCGTCTAATAGTGAGTTGATATATTAGTCGCAAGTTTTTAGATTAGTTTTTAGATAAAGGCCTGCAAACTTACGATTGATAAGATGACTTGCGATTGATGTGGATCAATCGCAACTCGTTATAAGACGGGACCCTGGACGATTATATGATTGTCCTCCACCCCCCCCCCCCCCCCCCCTCTACTATGGTTTATCAAACATATCCCCTCATATTAAATATTTTCCTGGATAAAAGCACATCATAATAATAATAATAATAATACAAAACATTTGTATAATGCCTTTTCAGACAGCTGATAAAATGTGCTTACGAAAACATAAACATTACAAATTACAAGAGATGGATATTTAAGCGTCCAGGGACTCGGCCCCATCTCCGTAAGTGACCCGACGGACAGGGGTGTCGATTTGTATCCGTGGTTGGGGGGGGGGGGGGGGGGGTGGGTGATAGGTGCCAAATATTTTCGGCAATGGATTAAAGCAACCAAGAGGTAGAATCGTGTAGCAGGTTGCACCCCTCCCTTCTAAGTTATTTCAAGTCAACCTCAAGAAAGATAGCAATTCAGAGAATATGGGACCCATGTGGGTCCCACATGGACTTGCTACCTGGGTTATTATCCTCTAAAGCGCGTAGCCAGGATTTTATTTTAGAGGGGCGGTATAGTGAGCACGCAAAGCGCACTCTCTAGGAGTGGGGAGTGAGGGGAGTTTTCATTAAATTATGAAAGAAAGAAGACGATTCGTTGTACCATTCTCGACTCTTAATCCTTGTCTGAATTCAGTCCCTCCCCCCCCCCCCCACCCCCCCTCCCGCGCTAAGGGCGGAAGCTTTGAGGTTTCATTAAATTATTATTAGAGAATGAAGAGGATTCGTTGTACCATTCTCGACTCTTAATCCTTGTCTGAATTCAGTTCCACCCCCCCCCCCCCCCCCCTGCCGCGCGAAGCGCGAAGCTTTGACGTTTCATTAAATTATTAGAGAAAGAAGAGGATTCGTTGTACTGTACTCGACTCTTATTCTTGTTTGAATCAAGTTCTCCCCCCCCCCCCCCCCCCTCCTCCGCGCGTAGCGCGGAAGCTCTTACGTTTCATTAAATTATTAAAGAAAGAAGACGATTCGTTGTACAATTCTCGACTCTTAATCCTTGTCTGAATTCAGTTCTGACCGCGCGAAGCGCGGAAGCTTTGACGTTTCATTAAAATATTAGAGAAACAAGACGATTCGTTGTACCGTTCTCGACTCTTAATCCTTTTTCTTCCTACGTCCTCTTCCTTTCTTCATTGTCTCTCTCTCTCTCTCTCTCTCTCTCTCTTTTGGCGGGGGGAGACCGCCCCCACCCCCTGGCTACGCGCCTGTACCCTCTCTGTCTCTCATTATCTCCCTCTCCCATTCTCTACTTCTTTTTTGCACATTTGCGCTTCGCGCTTAACAGCGGCTTTGCATTTAGCGCACTGCATCTTTATGATGCTGTTGATTGAATAAATTAAATCCATCAATTCCTGATGAAACCGTGTGAGAGAGATTCAATTTATTCATGTCTTATATACGGTTGTATCATTTACTTCGTTTTCTATTTATATATGTAAACTATGTATTATGAAAATGAGAGAGCAAAATGTGTATATTGATGGTCATCTTGCGAGTAATACCATTAACTACTCTCATCGGGCTCTCATCATTAATTTTTCTCTTAATTTGTTTGTTGTGATGGTGAATTATTGGGGGGGGGGGATGATTGTACAGGCCATCCCCCACCCCTGAAATATTTGGGGGGGATATATCCCCCCATCCCCCCTCCCCCCCCCCCCCCCCGGGGATCGACACCCATGCCGACGGATATATAGTATGCTTCATGTTGCAACTATTCATCTATATCGAAACTTTCGATGAGGGGTGCGTGCCTCAAGCCTCTCTTAAACTCTTATAGAGCTCTTAAGATATACTTTCCCACAATGTTCAGCCTTAATGTGACCCCCCCCCCATACACATACGTTATCAATCCCTCTACTGTCACTGGTTGTACAAAATTACCTTCTAGCCTTTTATTGTTGACGCAATCAATCACAAAGTGGCAGCTCTGTGAAGTAATTAGGGAGCTCCCCTCCTATTTGCCTTTTACTAAAATGAAACTTAAATAATTATATTTGAACATGTAAAAACTGGAAGACTTCAGTCTCTGGACATATCATATCGACTTTGACATGAACCAGTACATAGGTGGATTTAAGGTTGATCGAAGGGGCCACCCCATTGTTGTAAAAAAAGAGGGAATCCCACTAGGGGCGGATCCAGCCGGCGGCAGGGGAGGGGCCCAATTCGTGAGAAAATATTTAGCGGCGAAACAGCCAGCCGATGATTAAGCGGAGGGGGGGGGGGGGGTGAAGGAGCACTTTCAAATTTGAAAATCGCACCCCCCCCCCCCTCCATCCTTGAGCACCAGGGGAGGGGGCCATCTCCAAATAAGGTAAAATACACGTGTTTTTTACCTCTTTTTCCCAGGGGAGGGGGCCCCCGGCCCCCTCCCTGGATCCGCCACTGAATCCCTCTCCTACGCCCCCCCCCCCTATGCTGAGCGAGTGTGCAGATGTCTGGATGTATCAATTGATTTTGTTTCTTTACTATTCAGAGGCTTATGGAAGAATTCTGATTAAATAAACACACTTCAATACCCACTTTCTAATAATCCTTGATCCGGCCCCTTAGCGCCAGACCCGTAGCCAGAGGTTGATGTTTGGAGGGCACATACATGCACATGTAATTGATCGACGTCCTGGGGAGGGGTCTAAAAAGTTTCAACTGATCTTGAAAAATTGGGGGGGGGCACGTGCCTCCCCCCCCCCCCCCCCCCCCCCCCCCCCCCCGTGGCTACGTGCCTGCCCTTAGCAAAGAATGGGTACAGGACCGTTCAGTTTCGTTTAGAACACGGCCAGAATAGACATCATTTTGCCCATAACCTGGGCATTTTAAAGGAGGTAAAACTTGTGAACACCTTTGCAAATTATATACAGTCATGTAGATATCTATCCATCTGACTTGTTTCTTTTTTCTTTTTTTGTTGTTGGTGGGGGTCCCGTGGGGGTGTCACCTAAAGGTGTTTGCATGCTCGACATAAATGCTCTACATTAGGAAATGCATACATTTACTCTCAATCTTGGCTCGGCTCCCAATATTATTTTCTGTCGATATCTATATTCTGTTCATGATGTTGGGAGACTTTGATGATCTCCAAGCGATAATTCCTTTCAGTTCAGAGCGTGTCAGCTACGTGTTTCAGAAAATGTAACTAAGGCAATGACATTGATCCCTCATACATGCTAGACAAACAAACTACCGCAACCCTTTTTTGCTAATCGACAGAAAACGATTGTGGTCGCTTGTGTTGTTTCTGTCTTTCATGTCACGAAGTCACTCTTCTTTGTCCTCCGAATGGTTATGTATGATCAAATCAATATCACAGCCTTGTCACGTTCATCATCATTAGGGCTTCAAATGATTTGTCGATATTTTCGCGTCACCTAGTTTGGGAGACTTTATTCATGTTCCAAATTAACCTGGGGCATAAATCTAGCCCTTAACTTGTTTTCTTTCAGGCATTTAATTTTTGTTCTCACTTATTTGTATTTTCCGAGATATTTGAGCCAGTAAGACTCCGACTCCCGGAGCCTGGGACAAATCCTATGACCTTAAAAAGATGTCTGCACTCATCATGAAGACTAAATTTCGAGCACTTTTTGATAATTTCTTCGAGAGAGCGTCATATTTAGTTATGCGGCCAGACAAAAATGCACTACATTGAACGATTAAACAATTAAACGATTAAACAACAGTAAAAATTTGAACGATAAAGATATCCAGAAATGAAGGAAACAAAATATGGTGTTGTTCTTTTTCTTACAGGAAAAGAAATCTTCTCACGATACAAATTTATTGACATCTACGCCCCCCCCCCCCCCCAAAAAAAAAAAGAAAGAAAGAAAGAGAAGAAAAATAAAATTAAAAATAAAATGACAGGTTAACGAGATGAAGGATGCCCATCCCAAAATAAAGATGCATTGTGCTAAAAAATAAAAAGTTGTAGAATCTAGTATAAATTGAGGGGATTAAAGATTAAAAATGATATAGACTCCAGAGTCTAACTATAAAAACTCTTTTGTGGAGCCGTTTCCCAGGGAAACACACAAAATGCGTTGATGAACATGAACTTTAGTGATCTAATTCTCATTAGCCTAAAAGCACTGAATGGGTCAGGTTAAAGATCACTTACCACTGATGGGTGTGGGTTGTTTCTAGGAGGCGAGATGTGGCCATGGTAACCCTGCCACACCCTCCAAACCGTGGATGGGACATTGGCTGCTTTTCCGTTCTTAGGCTTGATGGAGTCCAGGCTGTAGTCCTGAGCGTACAAACTCCCGTAGCGGTCAGCACCTAGCTTGTCTTCGGGAAAAATCTCCCAACTATCTTGATGCTGGTTTTTAATCTCCACTGCTTCACATTTTGCTCCCGGTGTGGGTAGCATATGAATACATGCTGTTGCCATTTTTAGGTTTCTTTCTCTTAATCAAAATATTGAATTAAGAGTGAAGATGTCATTAATTTTTCTTAACCTTACAACCTCTTGCCCTAGTAATGTATTGTTATGTATGTCCACTTCATGCACTTGACTCGATTGTTATGCCCATTCATATAAACGTGTGACGTCACAAAAAGAAAGTTTTGCGCGCACGCGCGTATGATTAGAGGCTCATTATTGGTTCATTACCCTCATCACCTGACAACAGTAATTTGTCACGAGGTATTGATTTGTCGTCTGCTATATAATTATTGTGGTTTTGATAATGATCGTGCCACCAGTTGTATCAGTTTCAATAACATTATCATTAATGATTGCATTCTTCATTCATCGTGTCTTGGGATAGCGTCCGAAGTTCGATCCCTATTTTGCATTATCAGGCCAATAACTCATTAAACTCAAGTCATCGAATTTACATGTGGTCAATTCTCACACTACATTAGCCCAGAAATCAATCAGACATAGGGGCCCAGATGTATGAAGTTCTCGAAATATCAAATCACCAAACTCCTTTAAAAGAGCACTCAAATGTATTATCATTTCACAGATGTAAGATTATTACTTACATATACAGGGCGTATCATAATAAAGGATATTGAAGTTTAATGACGATTTATATGAAAACTACTGATTTCATAATCAAGCATTTTATGTCTGTTGTAAAGGACAGAATGTCCTCTTGTTAATGACACCCCGATCATACTACTACTGTCACAGTTGACTGAATAACAAAGCATTGCTGTCCACCATGTGAAAGGTGCACTGTGACAAGTTAGCAATTACAGATAAATTCTAAAGATTAGTGCTTGTGTCAGCCCAGACATATTGAAATGCTGAACAATGAGTGGATTATGTGTCTAAGAAGGAAATGTTATCAAACTTGGCACAGTGCACCTTTCACATGGTGGACAGCAATGCTTTGTTATTCAGTCAACTGTGACAGTAGTAGTATGATCGGGGTGTCATTAACAAGAGGAAATTCTGTCCTTTACAACAGACATAAAATGCTTGATTATGAAATCAGTAGTTTTCATATAAATCGTCATTAAACTTCAATATCCTTTATTATGATACGCCCTGTATATATAAATCTATATATCAGTTCTCACTATATCGAACATGAATTTTTACTAGACTTATTATACTTCTGTTTTTCCTCCCCCCCCCCTTTTTTTTTTCCTGTTCTTTGTAAATATTGTGAATAGGCTAGTTCACAACCCTGAGCACATTTTTTTTTTGGCCCTCGTAAATTTGAAAATTTGCACCCCCCCCCCCCTTGAGCGCCCCTAAAAAGCTTTAAAAAAATCACGTGTTTTTACATGTTTTTCCCCAGGGGGCCGCCCCCCCCCCCCCCCACCCTGGATCCGCCACTGCATGCATTAGTAAATACATAAATAACTTGTGTTTAAAGTAGAGAAAAGTTAGCATATCTGCATATTATCCATCGAAACTTAATTTTTATCATCCGTTATCAATGTCTTCTAAGATTTGCATGAATGGTTATGACCTAGCTTACCATGTAACAATTTTGTTCTTCAACTAGGACAGATCAAGAGACCAAAAATCGGACCTTGTCTGCTTTGAACACTTGCTCCACAGTTCATATCTTTAGCGAGTAATTAATCATTTTTTTTTAAATTTAGGCCTACTATAGGACCAAATTTCCGATACTAGTTAGGTTTCCTATCAAAACAAATTTGCAAACGAGCGTACAAACTGGTCCGTTGTAACTTGAAATAATCCACATGAGCTTCCAAACCAGCAAAACATCTTTTTCTTCTTCCTAATACCCCGTCATTCAGAATATTGGACCGGGCTCAAAATTGTTATACGGTGGCGGATCCAGGGGGGGGGCACAGTGGGCACGTGCCCCCCCCCCCCCGGCCAATAAAAAAATGTTGAAATCAGCCCCAAATTCGCCAAAAATGTACTGGCAAACAGGGACGTGCACCCCCCCCCCCCCCCAAAAAAAAAAAAAAAATATATATATATATATATAACAAAAATGTGCTCTTACCCCCCCCCCCTATATATATATATATATATATGTCCTCTTACCCGGCCCCCTGGATCCGCCCCTGTTATAAGATATCAATAATTGTGGCATTTGGGTTTGGAATTTTTGAATAATATTACTGTTTTAAACATTGCTAGCCCATATGGTAGCTAACAAAAAAAAATAACGTAGTCAGTATCGGGTGGGGGTGTACTGGTGGCAAAATAAATACAGGTTAAAGGTAAAGACCAGTAATGGTCATGCGATTGCATTGTGAAAGAAACGTTGTGTAATCGATCAGAAAAGGTTGATCATCTAGCATCTAGCATCTGCAAGGTTCTGGAATCATCAAAATGATAGGAAATTTGGCCCATTCTTCGTAAAGTTACAAGCACTATACACAGAAAGATGTATATGGGACTACCCTATCTCTCTCACCAGACCATGAGAGAAATAAGTTTACCAAATATATGAATTAGTAGGCGGTTTCCCGGCAAATTTTTTATCATCATGTATTAGTCAAAACATATTCTTTCACATGATTGGTAATGAGAGCTTCCATTTCATTTTTTGAAATTGGGGCGTTGCCAATACTGGTCTTTACCTTTAAAAGAGAGATTTTGTATTTGTTTTACTTTGCTTTTCAGAAAATATGTTAGCCAAAATTAATGGCACACAAAGCATATTAGGATGATATTTTTTCCGTCTCATTTATTGGACTTATGTCGGGACTTATATCGGGTGGGGTGTACTGGTGGCAAAAGAAATACAGGTGAAAAGGGAGATTTTTTATATTTTTTTTTACTTTGCTTGTCAGAAAATATATTAGCCAAAACTAATGGCACACAAAGAATATTAGGATGATATTTTTTCCGTCTCATTTATTGGACTTAACCCCCCCCCCCCCCCCCCCCCCCTCCCTTTGCCAAGCCTGGATCCACCTCTGTTTGTAAATCCATTTTCAATTCGTGTTCGTATATCCGAAGGTCCATGGTATATCGTAGGGAGAGAGCGGCTTTGCGCGCCTTCTAGTCGCAGCTGGCGCTATCAGCTCTATGGTCAGTTGCTACGGGAAACGTGCGACAAAACAGCCTCCGCGAAATGCGATCTCGCTGCGCTAGTGAATGCATATGCACGGCATACTATGTGCGTATACGGTACGCAGATATGATTTACGTACGTGTAAACAACAATCACACTGAACTGGATGTTGACAACTAGAATCTAGACGAGAGATCGTTCATGATATTGACAGTTTATTTTGATATTTTACACATTCTAACTAGAGAAGAGGGACAGGAAAAGGCCTGAAAATGCCAGGTGTTGGCAAAACAAACAGCAACACTCCAATTACGGAACAAATATCAGAGTTACAGCGGAAAATATCCTTGTTGGGTGAGTGAAACTGTCTTTCTTTTTTTCCTGCCTTGCCACGGCCACGCACGGCTAATAATGTAGACCTCTAGTTTGTAAGACTTGAACTTGAAGTTAAGTTTAACAATTAGGTCTAGTCGTTTTAATATAGGCCTACCATGATTTATTTCTATGTGTTCAACAGGCAAAGACATTCTGAAAATGTGAACAAATCAGGTTGGCTGTTGAGTGTAATTGAGCTGCGTGAGTACGTGACTGTGACAGTGTGTATTTTCTGATTTTTTTTTCTCAAGGATGCAGTGTGATTTCTCTTAATTAGGCCTAGATTCTAAGCCTACACTGGATTCTTTACTCTGTGTAAAACCATAAACATTTGTGTGTGCATGGTCAATCAATATTCTACTTCTAGAAAGTTTCTTGGCTCTTGCTGTGGAAATAAATGAATCCACAAAAAGGCACAATCTTAGTGTAGGCCTAGGCTAATGCCAACAATTATGCTTACAACAATTAGCCTAGGCCTACAACATTAGTACAAGAGTGTCTGGTTTCACTTTTTGTTTAATTTTTACAGTTACACTTACAGTTAAATACAGGTCTAAAATGATAAACGTTCAATCTAGAATCCCCTAGATCTAGACCTAGTATAATATTGGTCTTGATTCTGAAATAGGGTCTAGATCAAGCTAATATTTTTAAATTGTTTCATGGGCCTAATTCAGCAATTTCTTTATATTTTCTCTTTAGATGGTGACCGCAAGGCATACTATGAGAGCTCACAATGGACCATCAAGCAGAATCTTGATGTGATCCGTAAGGTCCGTCAGGAGAACAAGACGCTACACAAGCGGCTAGCAGCAAGCAAGGCGGGAGATGACCGTGTACTTGATATCGCCTTCAAGAGTCGAGAGGTGGAGCGTGCCTCTCTCAGAGGCAAATCTGGAAAGGTGGGTAACCTACCTCTATCTTCTTCTTCCTGTGTTTCTTCCTCAAATAATTCTGAAGAGCAGTAGTCTTGCATATAATTGTGTAGTATTATTAGAGGGTAAAAAACTTAACAATTGTATTAAACGATGTTTGTTTTCAAGGAATCAGCCCCCCACCCATCAACTCCTATGTACTGCAACACAGAGTCAACGCCTCTGTGACAGACAATATTTTCATACATTTAAAGCCCCACTGCACTACTTGTAGCTACTTGCCCCCTCTAGAAAACAATGCCTAAGTGGTGCCCGTTGGTCCCTTATGATCCTCTTTGTCTTATGTAAATTGAGAACTGAGTTGATGAGATAACCACCTGTCAGTGATGCTGGGTGCAGACGGGCTTTGATTGGGAACAAATAAATAAAATGAAATTATCCTTTGTTATCACAGGAAGCAATCCGCATCATAGACCAGAAGCTTTGCGAGGCCAAGAAGCGTCTCAACGCTGAGAAGTCTCAGACCCTGAAGCGAGAGAAGACCTACTCGGAGCTTGAGGTACAGCATGATCAGATGCTCAAGGATGCATCGGATGCAGAAGCTACTACGGCCGGTACATCGGACGATGCAATGGTAAGTCAATGGGTGGTATTCTCGAAAGCGAACTAACTTAAGTCTGTGGTTTAACTTTAATCCACTGACTAAGTATGGAATGCCAAGTGTACATATGAATATATTTTTGAATAATTTTATATGTCGTCTAATATTTTGGTATTAACTTACATCTTGCAATCAGTGAAATTCTGTTTCCAAGCTATCCACAATCACAACATGATTGAATTTAATGTTGTTTGTCTATGCAGGCCCTACGATCGTTGGAGAATCGTCTAGATTCGTCTAATACGAATTAATTTACATCTTAATTGCAATCAATGAAATCCTGTTTCCAATTTACAGTCAAACCTGCTTTAGTTACCACCTGTCTACAACAAGCACATTTTTTGTTTCCCTTGAAAATGGTTTCTCATTGAAACATGTACTAAAGGAACCTGTCTACAAAGACCACTTTTTGTGTTTCCCTTGGGCGGTCGCTGTAGACAGGTTTGACTGTATTAACAATCTCAACTTGATTGAATTAATGTTGTTTATCTACGCAGGCCCTACGATCGTTGGAGAATCGTCTAGACAAGGCCAACCTCAAGCTCCACGAGGCCGAGCACATCAACCGCACATACCTGGCTATCAAGGAGCAGATGATCAGGGACAGTTTGACCTTTGGCAATGACCTTGACGGTGAGGAGAACGAGATAGACCATCTGAAGGAAGAGCTGAAGGAACTCCAGGCCATGAACAAGGACGCCCAGATCGCTAGAGATGCTGCCAAGGTATATTTTCATTTTTATTTCATTTAATTTAATTAATTTTGTTTTTCTAAGTTCTGAATATGTAATAAAATCAGTATGCATTAAAACATACATGGAGAAATATAAGCTTATTTTAAAGAGAACTGGCCAGGGACCCGTCTTACAAAGAGTTGCTATTGATCCAAATCAATCGTAAGTCCTCCAATCAATCGCAAGTTTGCAGTCTCCTATCTCTTATGTACATAGTTGCGATTGATATCAATCGAAAATAAGTTACGATTGATATCAAGTTATCAACTCTTTGTAATACCCTGGGCCCTGGGCTCCAACATAAGCAGAGCTTGATGCCTAGTTAGCCCTGACAATTATATGTGCATAGAAAGATCAGTAAAGAAAGTTTTTGAGGGTCTTTAATTAGACAACAGCTTTTACCAGATCCTAGATTATCTGAAATTGTTAGGGTGTTGAGGAGTTTAACAAAAATCTTGAAACTTTCATTAATCCAAGACATTTGAAACATTGGTAAACTTTATGTCATGCACGCAAAAGATCCTGGTTTACACTTACCATCCAAGACTGGCAATCATAGAAATATATGATAGGAAAAAAGCACAACAGTCGGGCAATTTTAGAAAATGCATGACTTTGATAATTTACTTACAAGTATCACATGAAACACTGTTATTCACCACTATCTCTAGTTATGGACTTCGATCTATTATTTAAATCTTGTTTATCATTCAATAGGCTGAGCTGAGCAAGCACGAAGAGACGGTTTACCGAGAGAGAAGAGAACGTGAAGAAGCCCTAGCCGTACTCAAGAAACAGGCTGAGGAGAAGAAGGCCCATGCAGAGCGGGTGGAGAGAAGGGTGAGTTTTCTCTTCTCATTTCTTGTAGTATTATAAATCAAGAGTGATATTCACCCATGAAGTGCAAATTAGCTGATTAAATCTTACAAAGTTTGTCAGTTGGTCTCGTCGAGTAGATAATAACTCTAATAACTGAATAATTTAACTTTGTAAAGTGATTACTTTGTGTAGGATTGAATGTATTTGAAGTAGATATTTGGTTTGTTTTACCTGACTGCTAAGAAAGCTTGTGTAGGACTGTAAGTAAGCAACTAGGGGACCAACGGCTGTAAGCCCTCTCCGAGTTACTTGGTAATGAGGATTAATGCCTTACCAAAGGGCACTACTGCATCAAATTGGTTTTGAACCTGGAACCTCTCGGTTAAAAGACCTGCTCTACCACTGAGCCACTGCGCCTTACTTCATGGTCAAGAACAAAGTGTCACCAGACTTTTATCAACCCTACAGAAGAAGAAAAAACAAGTTCGTCAAGGCTTTATTGTCTTGCATGGCAGCTTGGAATGATAACAAATGTTGTCTAGAAGTATTAAGGAACCTTTGGGACAGTCATTAAAAATGAATAAATATCAACTTTTCAGAGCTAGAAGGGTGTTAATTAATTAAAATATTCCCTCCTTGAGGCCCTTAAAAAAAGATGTTGTATTGCCCTTTAGGTGCCAAAACATTGGTTGGTCAGTCAGAAATCTATTTTTGTTTAAATATTTTACTCCCTCTTTGGGCTGATATTGAATGCTTTAATACATTTTTTTTCTAAAAAAGGTTTAGAAAAAAAACTTTTTAAAAAAGCTAACCGTACATTTCAAGATTTTTGGGGTCGGTCACAAAGGGCAATACAACAATATCTTTTTTTTTTAGGCCTGATGTTTCAACTTATGAATGAGTGAATGACTAAATGTTTCTGTATAAATTCATCTTCACAGCTCCAGAGAGCATCGATCCAGCACGATGACCTGACCCCAGAGCAGAAGCAGTTCGTGACCGGGGAGGAGGAAGAGAAGAAGATCGGTACCTTCGAGGAAGCTTTCCAGGCTATGAAGGAAGCTACAGGGGTCTCAGATCTTGCTGTAAGTAAAGTGTACCAAAGCTGTGACATCATAACATTTTTTGGGGGGTATTTCTCAATTTTGTTCTTCATTTTCCGAAAGAGCATACAAAATAATGTCCAAATGTCGAAAACGTTTGAACCAGAGCAATATAACGCTGAGTTCCTATAGGAAATCTATTTATTCAGATGGTCATATCTCAGCTAGTACTTAAAATTTTCAATTGGTTTTCAATATTTGGACATTATTTTTGATGCTCTTTCGGAACATGAGGAAAAAATTGAGAAATTCCAAAAATAATTTTTGATGACGTCACACTTCACCACTCTACATCGTAATCTTACTCCTGTGTTTCGGATTGAAACTTCAGTTTTAGAAATTTAAAAAAAATGTGATTGTAATGTAAACACTATTGCTGCAGTTGACGCAAAGTTGCAATGAGCATTACTATACAGTATGTTCTATATAGACCTATGCTGGCAGATGTTTAAAAGCTTATTCTGCGTCAGTTTTCTCGTGCTCTACACTCCGAATTACATCTTACCAAATAGAATTTGACTTTCAAAGACATTCTTTTTATTTTATTTCATTTTGAAAAAGAAAATATTTCTCTTGGTGTTTGCTTTTATCTCGACGACCCCAATGATTGGATGGATTTGTTTTGAGAAGGAGAAATGGACCTACCATTTGAAAGTAAGGTAGAGCTCACTATCTTTGGTACTAAACCATCTTCTAAAAAGTTGGAAGAGAGTACTTTGCCTTGAGAACCTGAACTCCATCTATTCTATTCTGTTAGATTATGGCAAGCCTCATTATAATGGCTTATGATTGGTTTGTGTTTCACAGGAGGTTGTAAACCGATTTGAGAACCAGAACTTCACCTACCAGCATCTGATGGAGCTGAAGGAAACCAACGAGAAGCAGGTCGTACGTCTCAAGGAAGAGAAATCCAGACTCAACACAGACTTTGAGGAGATGAAGTACTCAGGAGAAGCCAAACTATCAAGGTAATCAACGTTTTGTACTGCATACCTATCCTATTTAGCTGAGACATGCATTGCTATCTGCGTTACCAGAAGCACTTGATGTATGCTCTTCTCAACCAAGGATGGTTGATACCCAATAGCTCACAACTAAAGTTATGAGAATTTATTTTTTTGCCTCCATAACGATGTAGATGGAGGCATAATATTTTTATTTTGCCCGTCTGTCTGTCCGACCGTACGTACCGTTCTAGTGATCGCGTTATCTCAAGAACTGATTGATAGATTCCCGCCGAACTTGGTTCATATATGTATGTTGCGTGCAGTCGAAGATCCATCTAGTTTGTTTCTGTGTATTTTCTAAAACAGGATTTCAAACTTTCCATTGATGTATTACACTTTATCTTTGCAGTTTATACTTTGACTTATTCTTTAATCTTAATGAAAATTTGAATGAAATTGTTTGAGACCACAGAAGGAATTAACTTTTGCAATGGTCTTTAGGATGAGAGAAGACACGTAAAGCCCTACTGCAATACTTATAGCTACTTGCGCCCTCTATATAGCAAACAATGCCTAATCGGTGCCTGTTCGTCCCCCATGATCTCCTTTTTCTAATGTTAATTGAGAGCTGATTTGATGAGATAACCACCTGTCAGTGACCTTACAGGGAGGTGTAATCCCTTCTGGCCAAACTAGTGCAGATAGGTTTTAAATGTCTTATGTTTTGTGTTTTTTCAGTGGTCAGAGAATGTTGGAGGAGTTCCAGGCCCATCTCAAGACCGAGGTGGAACGTTGCGGAGAGTCCTCAGAGAAGCTTGATAAGTGCAGTAAGATCCTGGTCCAAGTCAAGGCCGGTGTCTCTCATCTGGCCGATAAGCTTCAACACATCAAAGCAGTAAGTAGTGCTGGACTTTTCTCTTACCCATTATGAAGAGTTCTCTATGGATTGGGAGTTTCCCCACTCGTCCTCATATCCAAAATTACTTGGATAATTGTGATGGAAGATAAATGTAGGGGAGCGATTTTCATTGTCATTGGGAGATGCTGTTAATACACTGTTAGTCATAAAGGTAGAATAGTTTTTTTCCCCAATTTATGGAATGACTTGTTTTGCGTGACTGCTAAAGCATGTGTGTGCTACTATGCTTATAAACTAGGGGACCTACCTCCTAAAGTCATAACTGACATTAATGAGGATTAATGCCTCACAAAAGGGAACTAGTATAGCATATTGACACTGGGGTGTCACAGTTAGGAGGCCATTGCTTTGCCACTGAATCATGACTGTACGCAGCAAGAGGTAGAATAGTAGGCAACCACATAAATTTTTAAAAAAACAAAGAAAATGCAATATATTATCAAGAATTCATTGCATTTTCCCCAGATCCCCAACAGAAAAAAATCCTCTGTGTGGCCATGCCTTGAACCATAACGCATGGCAGTATAGAGGAATTTTTCCTGTTGGGGACCGGGGGAAATGCAATAGATTATTGATAATTCATTACATTTTTTTTTTTTTTAAAATTACATGCATGTATTCAAATCATCTGTATTTTCCTGTTTGTGCAGAACAAGGGTCACGTACCTCAGGCACAGCTGTCTGCCGAGGCAGATGAATTCGTCTTAGATCTCCTGGCAACCTGCGAAGAGAAGCTTCTCAAACTCATGGAGGAACTCGATGGCCACGATGTCGATGAGACACTCAGGCAGATGGAGGAAGAAGAGGTAGGTTAAAGCCACACTGCACTACTTATAGCTACTTGCGCCCTCTATATAGCAAACCATGCCTAATCGGTGCCTGTTGGTTCCCAATGATCCCCTTTTCTTATGTTAATTGAGAGCTGATTTGATGAGATAACCACTGACATTGCAAGGAGGTATTATCTCCCTGGCCAAACTAGTGCAAACAGGCTTTGACTTTGTGAAAAAGGTTTCAGGGGCTGAGATTAGTCCAATCCAATCCAATCCAGGTATTTATAAAGCGCCAATATCTAGTTGCCTAATCAAAGGCGCTGATGAGACTGAAAAACTACAAAAAATGTCTGTTCATGATTCTTACTGGGAAAAACAAAATAGCAGTGACTAATTGTAAGCAATCTGAAATAGGTTTGTCTTTAGTTGAGTTCTGAAAGTGGATAACTGGTGACAAGAACGAAAGATTTGGTGAAGACCATTCCACAATCTCGATGCACAGGCAGTAAATGATTGATCCCCTAGAAGAGAGCGTGTTCGAGGACTCTCAAGCCGGTATTTACCTGCATATCGCAAATTAGTTTGATTAGTGTACTGTTTGGATCAACAAGAGTAGCCATTGGTTGTGTGAAATGACAGTTTGTAGATACGTGGGTTGATGTTTACGATGAGTTGATCCGATAGCTGTTGAAAGGAAGATTGATCATTTGTTGACATTCCTGTCATGAAATAAACGCTTCATGTTGTTTTTATGAAACAGCAAGTAATCATGGCTTGGCAATGAAATATAACAAATGGAGACTATGTTAAAGATGAACTTAGTTCTGGTAAATATAGAAATAAATTCTCACAGATTTCAATACAACTTACACTGATTGTTCAATATTACAAATGAATGACATTTGCCACACAATTTCGGAAAAAAAATGTATATTAGCTGAGTAAAGAGCATCTAAAGAAAGATTAGGATATTTGGGTAAGTCGGTCCGACACCACGTGACTAACACTGGGCAAATGGGAGTTGGTTTTTATTTCACTGGTTCAAACAACCAGTCTACTGCAGGATAAACAATCCAGAATAAATCGTAGCAACTTTCTCTCAAAATACGTTTCCAATTACATACCAGAGCTCAAGATTAGCTGTAATGAATGTCTGTAGGATAACGATGAAATGATCGTACCTTGCCCTGCAAATGTGGGTGTGTGTCGACACTGATGACAAAGAGAGAAGGGCACCCAGCAACTGCACAATCACATGATTGAAAAGTCAGAGATATAAAAGAAATATTTCCTTACCTTCCTCTCTCTAATCACTATATTTTTGATAATTTTCTCACAGTTCCAAGTTGGAATTGAAGGGGCGCTACCATCGCAAAACACTCGCATCAAGCTACCTACTACTCAGAGGGATACCACTTATGATGGTAAGTATTCAACTTGTGTCAAATGATAAGGTCTTTCTGTCTCTCAAGAGACGATATCACACTGCTCCAATAAGCCATTTTTGTAATGTAACCAAATTGAATGTATACGTCTTTGTGAAGTGCCCCAAAACGAATTTTGTCAGTCACCTGTCACAAATAATTGTATTTCAGTAGTCAAAATTCAAATTGCATACATTGAGTGTTGTTAGGTAGGGCAAGCTATAATGTTTGACCGACCTACCTAGCAACAACTAAGGTATGCAATTCGCATTCTGACTGTTGAGAACCAATTATTCGTAACAGATGAATGAAACAATTTGTATTGAGGCACTTCACAAAGAACTACGCATTAAATTTGGATATATTACTAAAATGGCCTATTAAATCGAAATCCAATTTACAGAGTATAGCGGTTTATAGTTCGAGGTAGAAGAAATATGACCGATATTAATAGTCTTTCTACTTTGTCATCACAACATTGGACTGATTGGACTTTGGCAGCCTTTGCTTTCTTCCTCACATGCAGACGCAGCATGGTCCGAGAAGAAGCATATAGTTTCTGTATCATAGCAATCGACCAGTTTACTAACATATTCAAATTTATGGATTTTTCTTTTCCGGGGAACCTGTTATTGATGAATGAACTAGAATACTTGGAATCCAGTCTACATATATTACTTGCTGCCATGTCACGAAAGCCTTTGGGCAAGATTTTAGGTCGTCAAGAAAAACCTTTGCTTAGAAAGTATGCATAAAATTTGATTATGTTAGTAAACTGGTCTATTTATCCATCATCTTGGACCTGTTACACACAGCCTTTTTTCAATGACATATGACAAAAATCAGTGACAAATCTGCTGATAACCAATAAGAAGCAAGTATTTCAGTAGCTTACCGGTATAACAAAAACTGTCATTTGTCACTGATGACAAGTTTTGTGAAACGCCCCCCTCATGCCTTCCCTCCTAACCATACTCTGTCTGTGTTTCTCCTAGATGAGGACAGCGGTGATGACGAAGACATCGTTACCAGGAATGCTCTCAAGAAGCAGGCCCAGAGTCTGGTCGACTCCAAGACCAAGAAGCACAAGGTCCGGGCCCGCAAGAAGAAGGGCGTCAAGTAAGACCAGGACCAGAATCCAGATCCTAGTCCAGCATCGGTGGAAACCTGGTGGTGATCCACACCGGAGTGTATACATAGATTGTGTATAATGTGATATAATACTACTACTATCATCTTGAGAAATTATTCCATCCAATCTTCTTCAAAGATTATTGTATGTAAAGCAGTATGTGCTTTAGTAATCTTAGTTGTCAGGGAAAAAATGGGGGGGGGGGGGGCCTAGGCCCTGTTTCTTCAAAATTGTTATCAATACCAAGTTACAATAACTGTTACAAGCTACTGAAATAGTGGCATTTGATTGGCTAAGAGCAGCATTTATTGTTGATAACGAGGTTTATGAAACAGAGTCCTGGATTTTGATTAAAATGCTAAATCATTTTCTGTGGATGATCCCTTGTAGCAAAACAGTGAGAGCACTGTTTAGTAGGAGTAGGAAGAGGACTCCGACTACCGAGACATTGGTGATATGACCGTATCTCATCTTACCGACTTAAATGAAACATTGACATTGATGTTACATCCGAGGTAATATCCATCCATGTAGTAATGCTGCAAATACTGCAGGTGTAGAAGACATTTCTGATTTTAATCATCACCCTCTGTTATCACTTTATCTTTTTACCCTTGTTTTTTGGAACAATATATAAAGAAAACAAAGAGCCCAGTCAAATACAGGCCAGAGTGCTGGCTGTACAATTGTGTAGCCTTATCTACTGAAAATATCCTGGAGTAAATGGAAACTCTGATTTAATACTTGTAAATACGACTTTTTAAATGTCTGAAAGCAGAGTATACACTTTGATTGATAGGTTTTTTGTTTTCCCTTGAGAAGTTAATCGATAATACAGTAAAACCTGTTGTAGTGGCCATACATTTTGTCTTCCTCAAGAGGGAAATGTGTGTTGTAGAACCTGTCTCAAAAGGCCATCTGTCTACACCTTCCCTGTTTCCCTTAAGGGTGGCCTTAATAGACAGGTTTAACTGTACATGGCTTGGAGAAAACACCCAGGAAATCCTATTGATTGCATTCTCATCAAATACATTCCTTAAACACCAACTATTGTCCAGCTTCAAAATGTAATGGTTAATGGTCTGCAGAAAGACGACACTTCATTTAATAAATTTCAGGATATATTTATTATTCATCTGTATCACAGCACTGGCCTTATCCAAATTATTTCAAAACTTCAGGTGTAAATTATTAAAGTGATAATATATTACACAATATGTAATACTTTAATACTTTATATATCGAGAGAATATAAACAATTTAATTGATGGAATGTGTTATTGGAGTTGATGTAGATAAAGGTAGTATCTTGCTCAATATTTCAGTTTCTCAAGTCAAAATCTTGTTTTTATCATGCAAAGATCACAGTTATATAAATTATTCATATTTTATGTTAGTACAATTTGATTATCCTCCCCAAAATCTCTTTAATTTCTAATCATAGAGTATCATGATCTGGAATTTATTTTTCCTTTTTTATTCCTCCTGAATGTTCTTTTTGAATAATTTTTTTGTGTTAATCTTGTGTAGACAAAATTGCTTTGTAAACTATTAAATGAATGTACAAACTTCACGAATGCCTATGATTAACTGAATGGATTTTTTGCTTTTTGCAGAAAACAGAGAATGCTTTTGTACAGCTGTTCATATTTTATATTGTTATCTGTTACCCATGTGAATGAATGATCTCTACAGAGAGGAATAAAATATTGCACAAATATTAGTCATTTGTGGCCATTTGTTACTTTCTTAAAGTGTAAGAATAAAGGTTTGGAATTGAGATAATAGAAGAATTTGATGTAGGTTTAGAAGTTGTTTAAGGGGGGCATAAAGATCAATATACATGTAGATACGATGTTTATTCATCTTTATTCATGATAATACATACATTTAGTTGTATAACAATAATAAATATGTGACATAAAACCCAGGACAACGATTTAAATTGCATCGGATGGAGCTCATGCAGGGTTACCATGACAATACACAATACCAATAACGGAAAAGAAAACATTAAAACATCAGTTTTAAAAATGAAAGAATTGATACTCCTAACAAATAACAATATCATACTCATTACAAACTCTAGAATAAACCCTATTCAAATTCCACGTATTTATAAATGAGAGAAAGAAAGAGAGGAACAGAGTAGTAGTCAAGAGAGAGGGAAAGTGAGAATGAGAGAGCAAGAAATGCAAAGATGGAGAGAGAGAAAGGGAGATGAGAAAAATAGAGAGAGAGACGAAGGTCATGTAAGAAGATTAGTAATAACAAATGAATATAGTAGACGGTGAAAAACAGAGTCATTTGATATCAAATGACATTTCGAAGGAAGTTTAAAAGGGTTAAAAAGATGGGAGCAAGATGTATTGTTGATGATTTAAAAATATATAACTAAATGAGGCCATGAGCGGAAGGAGAGAAAAAGAGATGGAGAGATCGCTACAGAGAGAGAGAGAGAGAGAGAGCGAGAGAAGGGAGGGGGAGCTCTAGAGAGAGGATTTGTTTGCATGTTATTTGCACCGTGATCTACGTACGGGTATTAAAATAATTTCAAGATTAAACATATTCAGAAGTTAGAATTTGAATTTATGTTTATTGTATATTTCCACCCTGCAGATTACATTAAATGCAACAGAAGCTCAGCAATACACTTATCTCTTTTATATTATGTTTTTTACCTCATCTCATTTTCTGTCAGTACTCCTAAACGGTAATATGAAAACAAAAACAATTCAAATCTACCCGTGCTTGAAATTAAATCATGTTTCCTTGAGTTCCCCAAATTACTTTTCCCCCAAAATCAGCTGGCAAAACTACTGGAAACTGTTACTCTAAATGGGGCGCAAAATAGGAGAAACATAGGAAAAGTGGCGAGAACAGTGTCGCAGAGGTCGATGGAACTGTTTATCGCGATAGCAATTTGCGCGCGAAGTGTCGGGTTAAATCGCGCGAAAATGTTCACCTGCTCCGAGTTGACTGCTTGATTACAAACGATAATGTGCATGCTTAATAATCGAAGGTTGCTTCCAAGATTATAAAAGAAGAGAGTTACTAAACGCCTTGAAGACATGCACAGAAGAAGTACGTTTACACTAAGTCAGGTATGAGTTAGGAGCCTGTTAGACTTGCTGATCCATTTTCTCTACAGTCTTACAGCTTTTTGTTGTTGCTTTGTTTGCCTTCTTTGTCTTGTTCTCAACTATTCTCTCTTCCTCTTACTCTCCCTCTTATTCTCTCTCCCACCCATCTCTCTCTCTCTCTCTCTCTCTCTCTCTCTCTCTCTCTCTCTCTCGATCTCCATCTCCATCTCCATCTCACTTTCCCTACTTTTGCCCCCCCCCCTCTCTCTCTCTCTCTCTCTCTCTCTCTCTCTCTCCATCTTACTTTCCCTACTTCTGCCCCTCTCTCTCTCTCTCTCTCTCTCTCCCTTTATCTTTCTCTTTCTTCATCTCTGCTGACTGTACCCTTCCCTGATGATAATGACCTTGGTCTCCAAATAATTCCACAAATCCCTTTCTATCATTCGGTCAAAGGCCTATCATTTAGAATAACCCTCAACATTCCCTTCATGTTCGTCTCACACTGGCAATTCACACATAGCGCACAGGTGTACATCACATCGTCAATATCCACCTTCACATACCTCGCCCTCTATTTTTTTTTCTCCCAATGTAATTACATGGTCTCCCCCCTCATTCCACTTTCCCGCGCAGCCTCAACAACTCATTAAAGCTAAATGGAATCCTGACGGGGGTGAGAATTACCTCACACATAATATAATCATTTTGATTTGTGTTTGCGGGGTTGGTGTTTGACTCTTTTCCTTTCAGATCGCAACAGGGATGGATTCAATGCATTAGCAACAGCAGCGTCAGCTGCTCGTGTTGGTGGAGGGCGGAAAGGCTCGGCAGACCTAAGGTTCTATAAAGAGAGAGTTGAATTCACCAATTATAGGACTTCACACCCTGTTCCAAGCCGGGCTTGGCCGCCGACCGAGACATCACTAGTATGTTCACCTTAAAGCACCAATGACTTTCCAGACGAGTTATCGAAAAGCTGAATGATCTGTTTATTAAACTTATACAAAGTCATATTGGTTATTAGGAAAATGTGAGAAAATGAAATCATAATTTATTCATAAACAAATTTAAAAGTAATAATATTCTGATATTCAAAAGCTTGGTTGCCAGGTGTGGAGAGAGCTTAAACTTCCTGCCAATGAGCTAAAGGCCAAAATTTGGCTATTTGTGTATAGTCGCCCCTCCCCTCACCCTCCTCACCCCCTAACCTTCATACTTCCAATGTTTGTAAATATAGAAAGTAGATATAAGGCTCACCCTGGCGAAATCATGCTCAGGAGCCTCTTGATAGGCTGACAATTTTTTGTTTTGTTGACATTTTGGGGTGCATTCATGAGAATTGGCTTAGTAGCGTTGCTGATGAGAGGGTTATATCGTCATGAACTGACAGAGCAGGTATGTATATTATGATCCGTTACCCACCACGCCTTTAATATTTCATCTGATTTTACATGTTTTCTTCACACGTAACATAATTTTGTTTATGTCCTGGACGGGAAAATACAATTTATCTCGTGCTCTTCCTCACTGTTCTAATCATCTACCCCTCCACCCGATGATCAACATCACGATGGGAGCTCGGTAATAGGCTTCAATTGTTTCTCTTCCTCCTCATCCAAAAAACTTCCGACTGCTCTCGTGGTCGAAACGCTATTTCCTTCCACGATCTCAATTGCTCTGTTTTGACGCTTCACGCTGGCTACGTGGTGGGAAAACAAATTGGAATATTAATGACTTAGGGAAGTATTTTGACTCTCTTGTATAGGGTTTAACTTTTAAATCGAGTCATGTAGGCCCAGCATTGATTCTCTCTCCCTCCCACATTCCCTCCCTTTGTGTTTCTCCATCTATCCAGGCATTGCAATGTCTCTCCTTATGATTGTGTAGTATCTCTCTCTCTCTCTCTCTCTCTCTCTCTCTCTCTCTCTTTCACCATAGACGTAATACACACACTTTGTCCCCCTCTCCTTCTCTCTATGTTTGTCTCCTCTGAGTCCCTCCCTCGCCCCCTCCCTCGCCCCTCCCTCGCCCCTCACCCGCTCTCCCCCTCGCCCCTCCCTCGCCTCCTCCCGCTCCCCCTCCCGAGCCTTTCTCCCTCATTTCACTCTCTTTCTCTCTTTTATTCTCTCTCTCTCTTTCTCTCTCTCTCCATCTCTCTCTCTCTCTCTCTCTCTCTCTCTCTCTCACTCTTTATATCTCCTCTCACTCTATCTTTCCTTTCTCCTCCCTCTATCTATCCGTCCGTTTCTCTCTTTCTCTGTATGATTGTACATGTTGCCACCACGCTGCCGCTTCACTCCCTCTCTCAGCCCGTTCGGGGCCGGTAATTGGGCAGATGATGTTTCGAGAGGTCCAAGTGGAGTTGACGCAAATTGTTCACCTGCCCAATTTTCGTCCTGTGCAAACCCATTCCATGAAATTAAACTTGAGCTAAAGACTTTCTTCCCCCCTGGCAACGCTTCTTCCTCATTATACTCCGTTCGTCATCATCACTCAACCTTTGTTTCACACGCGTCGCTTCATGTCTTGAAAAAAGAAGGTCTTCTACCTTTATCATCATAGGAAAAAAAGTACAGGAGTTATCAGCATCCATTGCTCTTAAGTTGCATACAGTTTAAAAAGATAAAAGTAACTCTTATCATTAAAAGGATTGGGTATCTTTGTCTCAGATTCTGATTTTTTTTTTTTTTTGGGGGGGGGGATTTAGCTCCTGCTGCAATCATAATTAGGTCAGTCAGGAATCCCATGAGTTTTACAAGCCGATCGCCTGACTGATTGTCTTCCCAACGGTTTTTGATAACACTACATTCTATTGGGGGAAAATTAATAAGTAAAACCGGTCACTCAAAGATTTTTTGCTTTTTTGAGGCACTTCATGATCATTTTGAAGCGCAATTTGTTTAGGGCTTCAATATTACACCATATCGCAGACACTGATCACACGTAGGGTCACGCGTCTCAGATTTAACATTGTTAAAAGGGAAAGTCCACCCCCAAAATAAGTTTGTTTCGATAGAGGCGGAATAATAAGAAAATCAGGTGAGTGAAAGTTTGAGCAAATTCTGAATGAAAATAAGAAAGTTATGAATTATTGAAGTTGTGATCAATCAAATACAAATTGGCAACTCTGTGACTTATTATACGAGCTCTCCTTCATTTGCTTTGTGCATAATATTCCATAAAATCATGTTTTCTTCGTTATTGATGACGGAATATATATTTGTTCCTTGCAGGGGGAGTATAGAAACATATTTGCAATTATTATATTTAGGGTGCATGTATGGTTGAAATTTTTCTTGAGGGAAAATGAAAATTTTAGATTTTTTTAGTACTGAGCAAATGGAAGTTGAGCTCGCATGATACGTCATAGAGTTGCCAATTTGTGTTTGATTGATCACAACTTAAAAAAATCCTAACTTCCTTATTTTTAATCGGAATTTGCTCAAACTTTCACTGACTTGTTTCTCTCATTTTTCTACTCCTATTAAAACTAATTTAATTTCAGGGTGGACTTTCCCTTTAAACGATGATAAAAGATGACGTTGAATGAAGCACTAAAATGAACATCATTACAATGTTACGTCGGCTACCCACCAAAAACTTACATGACATATACTGCCTTCTTCCAGGTGACTGAGAT